TCCTTTTGCAATTCATCAAATGTTTCAAAATCTTAATACGGAAAGGTGTCATTAAGTAAATGCTCTGGTATTTCTGTTCACGTTTAGCTGTATCCATGTTAGTTTTGTTCCCCTGTTTCCTTGATGTTCATTTAACTCTTTTCCTTTGCAGCCTGATTCTTTCAACTTCAACATGCTACCTTCCGCTGAGGGTGTCTGTGAGTTTCTGTTTCCTTCTTCCAGCATATTTCCTGCCTCGTGGAAGCTAGAAAAGTGTAGATCATTGTTATCAAAGGTGAACATCCTTTTGCAATTCATCAAATGTTTCAAAATCTTAATACAGAAAAGGTGTCGTTATTTAAATGCTATGGTCTTTCAGTTCACGTTTTGCTGTATCCATGTTCATTTCTTTTACTTTTCCCCTGTTAATAGTATTCTGGTACTATATTGTTTTGTGTATTGACTGTCCTGAGACGTTTATTCAGGAATTTCAGAACCCTCACCGTGGCATGAAGTTGCATGTGCTTACTGTGGGATGTGAGCCTGGGTCGGAATCTAGAGAGCTTGAACTGGGATCATCCTCTGATCAACACGACATGGATGTTGAGACTGCTGTTTCTTCGGATCGTCAAGCTGTGCATTCAGAGGCAGCAATGAGGTCTTCATCAAGGAAATTGGAGATGCTGCTTTCGAATTTTGAAAAGGCTGAATGGAGTAAGTCTTCATCTGATGCTTCTTTATGTTATTAGTGCTTTAAAGTAATTTAGTTTTTCATTGCATCTTAATTTTCTGATATCTAGGTTTAGTGGTGCCTCCTGGTAGATTTATTACTGTTGATCCAGGGCACTGGCTGGTTATCACTGAAGTCGTTTTCGCTGATGATTTCTGTGGGATTGCCAACTCTGAAGATGATCTCTACTTGGGTATTAATCAAACCAAAGCGGAGTTCATCATTGGCAAACTCAGCTATGATGACCAGCTCAGCTATGCAGACCAGCGTCCAGCTACAGTTGAGTTGTACCTGTCAGAGAAGTTCACGCTTGGGCATTCTGCCTACTCACCAGTCCGCTTCAGAGGGTACTACCACAAGAATTACAAGCCGAATCCTTCAGAAGGAACAAATCAGCCACAAAAGCCGCCACCAAATCCGCCACAATGGCGTCTTCCACTAGACTTAACAGCGCAGGTTAGATGTTATACACACATATATATATATATATATATATATATATAGATTTACTATTCTTATATTCATGCAAAAAATGCAGACCATTATGAAACCTTAGTTCAGGTGAATACTTTGATGGTTCTCTGACATATACATTTATTTTTCAGGTTATGTCGAATCTATCCAGCTCCGAAGTTGCAATTGCAGAGTGCGTTTGCAAGTTCTTCAAAGCTGCAGCAAATCGTCCCCTGTCTTATCGTCACATTGATTTATGTAATAAACGATATGGAGAAAATCTGCTTGCACTTATGTGCATGAGGAGGGGTCATGGGAAGGCACAGTCCCTTGCGGTAGGATTTGATTTTAGCTCCAATCAGGTAAATCTTAGTGGATTATACACCAAACGCTTTCTGGAGCCACTCCAATTAATTGGGTATGTTTTTTTCCTTTCCTTTTGGATAACTTTTTTTAGGATATACTATTATCATCTGATCTGATAACTAACTGTTTTGTTGTATTTTTTTTTGTTTTTCTTGTTTGCATCAGGAGGAGTTTGACAAAACTGAAGTTGGTGAAACTAATGCTTATCAATCATGAGGTTTTATCAACAGTGTTTGCTGGCTGCCCCAAGCTAACCAACATCGTGATTTCTTGTCTACCGTAAGTTTGCTTTCTAAAAACAAATGCAAAAATGTTAGCTGAGTTTGAATGTTTGCTGTATTGTTTAGTGTCATATGGATTTCTAAAAGGAATTTGAAATATGCCTAATGATTGGTTTTTCTGTTTCTTCTTTTAGGCGTATTCCTCTAGAATTTGTGATGCGTATGGCAGCTTTGCATTGCAATGGTGTGAAGCTGTTAGAATACAAGTGTGACAGTCCAAGTAATGGATTGTTGACAGAAGTTGCTGAAGCTACTTTGCAGTTGTTTGTGACAAGTTGCCCAGAGATCACTGTTCTTGGTCTCTCTGGCGTAGACTTGTCTGACCCGAAAATTGTTACCATCTTACTGGGATTTAAGAAGCTTCTCAGCTTAGATCTATCTCATTCAAAAGGATTTACAGGGACTTGTTTTGTGTGAGTCTTGATACTCCTTTTTCTTTAGTTTTTGAGCTTTTGAGGAAAGAGCCTTAATTCTTTTATTCTTGTGCAGTGACACCGTGGAGTATGACCTTTGTCTTAAAGTTTTGTTACTTCGCAGATGTGAAGATCTATTGGAGGTACGCATGATACTTTTACTTTTGTCTAATAATCGATATCATGCTTTTAATTAACTACGGTGAATCATTATGCAGGTTCAACTTGGAAGGTTTATTGACCGACTTTCTGGAACAAGAGCCTTCTTTCGCAAGTTGAAGAAGCTGGTAAGCAAATATTTTTGCTTGTTTTTATTTTCTGCTTCCAAGTAAGCAATCCTAGGTGAAGTTGTATGTTTTGACTGTTTTCCTTTTCTTTTTTTGTGTTTTCTAGGTTGTAACTGGAGCTGAACACCATGGTAACTTGCTCCAAGGGTTTGAAACAAGGATCAATCTTCATGGTCTAGTGACTTCAAGAGCTGATATGGTCATTAACATAAGCTTCGAAATGTAATTTTCTTTCTCTCATTACTAAAATACAGTAATCTATTTGTAGAAAAATTGTAATTTGGCTTTGTTTTGGACAGGCCTGCGGAGGTAGTGTTTGTTCAAGAGGAATACGATCAATTAATGTTGGATTCAGCTGATCCAACAGGAGGACAGATATTTGATGAATATGGATCGGATGATGATGTGATCTCGTATGATGATGAAGAAGATGAGGAGGATGAAGAAGATGAGGAGGATGAAGAAGATGACGAGGATAACGAGGATAATGAGGATGATGAGGATGATGACGAGGTGCATGGTGATGAGGAAAATAATGTTGATGATGACACAGATATGACTGGTTGTGGAAATCGCAGGAGACTTAGACTCATTTACTGGGGAAACTAAATGTTGAGATGATTTCTGTGTTTTTTTTTTTGTTTTTTCTGTTTAGGACTGGGTAATGGAGTATTCAAGTAAGGAATGTAAAAGAATTTAAATGAATTAAAGGTTCTGTTAAAAGTATTTTGACGACTCTCTGCCCACTTATCAAAATGGTCCTCTTATCCGAAATATAGAAAGATGTGTTTTCTCACGCAACAAATTACAATGTCACAAGTGAAAGAAAGTTGTAAGGTAGCAACGCATCATAGTGATTAAAAGGTAATGACGACATTTCAATAACTTAAATAATCGTTAAGACAACTAAAAGGGAATAGAGAGACGATTAAAAGAGACGTGTTAGATGTGTCAATGTTAGAGACATTTTCACAACTCGTTGGAGACATTAATTATCAGATGTCAGAAATCTTATATTTATTATTATTTTTTTTTTTTGATGAATTTGGATCTTATCCTCATTTTAAGAAGAGAATTGACTTTTCTTTTTCTTTCTCAATTCACTTTCGTGTCCTATAAAATAACGTTTTTGTAAGACAACGTATATTAGCCCTGGGCACGAAGCGAATATTCGGAAAATCTGTGATATTTGTTATTCGCTTCGCTTCGACCGAATAGTTGATTTTGGTATTTGCTTCGATTCGTAAATTTTTGAGTATTCGGAACTTCGAGTATTCGAGTATTTTTTGTAATATTCGCAAACTATTCGCTTCGCTTCGCTTCGCTTCGCTTCGCCTCGACCCATATAATTTTTTTTGAAACTAAAAATATGTAGTACATTTACCAACATTTTAAGAGCAACAATTAGCAAAAAACACATATAATTTTTTTTTGATATTAATTTTTTTTAATAAAGTTTTATTTGTTTAAGAGCAACATTTAGCAAAAAGCCCAACATGCCAAAATATAGCAATATGAATAATAAGCCTATTAAATATAAACATAAATCTATAATACACATATTATATAATGATTTATATTTATACATATATATATAAATATACGAAGCGAATCGGATATTCGGCACTAAAAAAATCAATATTTGTTATTTGCTTCGGTTTTTACGAATACTACATTTTCATATTTGTTTCACTTCAACATCTTATAGATATTTGTATTTTTCGAATCGAATCGAAACGAATATCGAAGCGAAGCGAATCTAACGAATATTTTGCCCAGGGCTAACCTATAGAGACTAATGATGATGGAACTAACGGGTCTCAAATATTGTGTAAAGTGTCACTAACCTTATATGTGTGTCAAATATTGAAATTTTCTCTTTACCAATTAGTTTGGATGCGCTCTAGATGGACTTAGGTGGATTAGTTGGAGCCAATGCTCCACTCTATATTTCCCTTTTGTAAGATTTTATCCCAAACACGTTTTAGTTTGACATATATAATTTTTAACTAATTAAACTTAATTAAATACTAGAGGATATTATGTGCTACCGCACGGCTGTCTTTTTATTTTTATTTTATTTATAAAACTGTATAATCTATATCTATATATATAAAGTTAGCTTTTTCTCTCTTCCCATGATGCCACCTAAGCATCCACCTAAGCCACATTTTTGTTTAAACATTAAAATAAATTTAAAACATTCATTTAGTGCATATTTATGTTACTTATTTAATTAATAGAAAGTTTATATAAATAAAAATAAAAATAAATTATGTAAAAAATGAAATGTTAAAATAAGAAAAACAATACTTTAATTTTTTATTAGTGGTAATAATATAATTCAACTTTCATTTTAAATTGATCGTAATTTAATATTTTAAATATGTTACTGAGTTTTAGAATGGAAGTAAAATTTAAATTTATGGTAGACTAAAACAACATTTATGTAATTGTATATATAAAATTATAAAGAGGAAAAATAAAATGAAAGTGAAATATTAGTTTATAACATGATCAAAAAGAAAAAAATGATATTTTATAAATTGAATCAAATGCTTTTAATCCAAATTTGAGTATTGAAAGATAATAATTAAAGAGAAAATAATTATAATATTTTTTGAAAATCAATTAAAAAATAATAAAATATCACAATATGAATAACAAATCAACGAAACAAAATTATAAACCTCCTGCGCGAAGCACGGGTCAACTGCTAGTAAATATATATATAACTTTTAATCAATTGATCGTGGTTGAACGCGGTTAAATAGTGTTATGATGACCCGGAAGGTAATCCGGTTCACAATCTGGTTTATATTTTAAAAAACATTAAATACATGTTTTCGAATTTGACATGTATATCTTTTTGTATGTTTTTGTGTAACTGAATATATATATATATATATATTTAAAATAAATATGTTTAGAGAGAACTTTAATAGTGGAAAATATAATTGCAAAAGCGAAAAGTTTTGAGTTATTGTTAAGATTTTTGATTTATAATAACTGTAATTTATTGATAAGATATATTTATATTTAAGTTTTCTGTATTTGAAGTTACATTATAATGTTTTTTATTATGAATTTTTAATGTTTATAATATTTTAAACTTTTAAATAAAAGTAACATAATCTTGATTGGCAAAAATAAAACTGTTAAGACTTTAAAATGGTTTTAAAGCCTTAAAAGTCACAACCAATCGGCCCGACTATAAACCTCGCCAATAAAATCATGCCACATCAAATTATTTGTTTAGTAATAAAAAATAAAAAATAAAACAATTACACACTATTGAAATAAAAGGGATTAAAAAAAAAAAACTGAACCAAATTCATGTTTTACAAAATTTACAAACTCTTAACTATTAAATGTAAATAATATTATTCCTAATTTTACTCCCACAAACATCTCCACGTTCAAGATGATTTACAACCAATTTGTCTCCTATTTAAATTCAAATCCATTTTCTTATTTTTTTAATCCTCTCTCTCCTTTCCATCATTTTTTTTATGTAAACTACAGTTACAATTCTTAGATAGGTAAATGTTTAAATTTTTGTTCATATTTATAAATTTTCTTTTGTACTCATATTAAATCTCTATTCAGTTGGAAGATTGCCTCTGAGAATTGTTTCAATTTTAGAACAATTTTCTATCATGTCTTGAAGCATAACAATTGTCATAGTTTGTTCAGTCCGCTTCCACCGTCTTCTTTTGACGCTCAATAGGTGATTTTTTGTTTCACTCACCTTCATCTTATCACTATTAATTATGGTAATTCTTTTTTAAAAAAGGAAAAAAGCCTAAAAATACCCCATCTAATTAGTGTCTTTAGTTAGGCTTAATTAAACACGTGTGGTTAATTTCTAACCCGAGTTAGTCATTCCGTTAAGAGCTTAAACGGAGGTTAACCACTGAGTACTAAAGAACCAACAAAGATATATTTCACGCATTTAAATGACACTCAAATTTAGACGAAGTATTAAAAGTCCAAGAAAAAAGACCAAGTATTAATCTTCCAAATAAAAATTAGATGGGGTATGGTTTTGTCGATTGCAGGTAATATTGAGGTTGAAATTTGAGTTCAGGTGGTGTACCTTGGTATGTATGTATGTGGTGTATGTGCTATAAATATATTAGAATTTTTTTTCTTCTTTCTGTCATTCAATAAAAATTACATTTTTGCTTTACAAAAGAAATTTACATTTAGTATATAATTTTTTAATTTTTGGTAAAAACAAATGATAAATCTAGTATTTTTAATAATATAGAAACCAACTGTCAAGTTTATAATTAGCAAAACTAAAAAAAACACTGTTCATACGCAATTTAATTTTAAAAGAATTAGAGCTACTAAAAACATGTCCAATGGGTGTTTTTTATTTAAATAAATTAGTACTTTTATACAATAATTTGTGTACTTTTCAAATGTAAGAAGTTTTTAAAATTATCCACCTCCAATTGTAAAACTCTAATTGGAGTTCAAAAAAAAATGAAAACTAAAATTTATAAAACATGAAATTATTAGATTTTATAAAATTTGTAACACACATAATGTAAAAACATAATATAAACACATATTACAAATCATATTTTAATTGCTGTCAAAATTTCGCCAAATATTCTCAATCAAATCTGATTTCAATTGTTGATGCATTGTTCAATCGCGTACTTTACTACGAATGCTCATCATATTGCCGAGATTTGAAGGGATATATGTAGAATACGTGAAATCCACTTTTTTTGGTCGAAAGAGATGATTGTTTCAACCACTTTTTTGTTATTCTGTTTCTTCGTAAAATCAACACTCATGTACTGACACGTGGCATTAAGAAACAATGCTAAAAAATTTTAACTAAGAAACTTATCTTAGCTTTATTTTGATTATTGATTTATTTTTTGCTTCTAATTACGAAGAAACAAATGATGTAAAAAAAAAACATTACTAAGAAACAAATTTAAAAACTTGCAACATTCAAAACTTATAAACAACAATACATTCAAAAACAAAACACCATACGAAATATATATACATAACATTCAAAACTTACTAACTAACTTTATTCAATGAAACAAACGAAACTTTCTATGTCTAAACACATCATGTTTATAAAATAAAAGAGCAAAAAAAGAAATTCAAACAACAGATCCGAGGTGTACCGCGGGTTCATACCTAGTATTTTATTTATGTGAAATATAGACCTTAAATGTTTTGTAGATTTCGATAGAGATTTGGTTTTTCTTTTCCAAAAACTCATTGTTAACCAATCAAGATTTTAAAATTTTGGATTCCCTAAAATTTAGTAAAAAAAATTTTGTTTTAATCTTCCATTCAAGATTTAGATTTTTAAGTCTCATATTATTCATATTTATAATGGTTCTGAACCATTGTCTAAAATTTTCTACGTGATGTAGGAAGTTGTACATACATGTTTTTCTTTTATCGATTGAATAATATACGTCAGTGAACACTAATTTTGGGTAAGGTAACAAAGAAGTAGCATGACTAACGGTAATGGAAAAATGAGAAAAAGTTATACTAAGAATTTAATTTTCACACATGAGAGAATACATTAATAAGTCAGTCAGTCATATACAGTGAACACAGGGAGCTATCTTTTTAGGCAATACAAGCATCTTGATTTACGGCTTTCATTCTTGAAAATGATACAAGAAAATAAAGTTGCTTAGAGTTCGTGATATTAATAATGTATAGATGAAGTGAACTAAACATTTTCATCGTCTTTTGGATCCACTGCTTTGCTCTCTTGGGCGATCCTCTACGTCCATACCTACCACTGCATTGGGGGATGGCTGTAATTGAACTTGAGGTTCTGAAGAACAGCATGTAGATACATCAAGTAACTCACATTCAGCAGTTTCAACTTGATCTTGATCCGCAGTGATTGTTTGCGCAACAGTAGGACACAATGAGGGATTATTATCAGGTACTTGGTGCTCTGAATTTTCTTTATCGGTCATGGGAAAAGATGTAGCGAGTTTTGAACCTTCAGCAACCACAGTTTCAGATTTATTTGCTGCCTATTAGAGCATTGAGTAGAGACATCAACTGATTCAAATACAGCAGTTTCAACTTGGAACTGATCTTGTGCCTCAATGTTTTTTTTCCACAATCCACAACTGTAGTAGGAGATGAGAGCTCGATATCAGCAATTTGGCTCTCGGCATTTCCTTCACCGGTCATTGGGAGGGAAGAAGGAGATACTGTACCTTCAGCAACCACTGGCTCTGTGGATGGTGGTAATTGAAATTGAGGTTCTGTAGAGCATCCTATCGAGACAACAGCCAACTCACATCCCGCAACTTCAACTTGATTTTGATCCTCAGTATTCTTTTCCACAACTAAAAGAGATGAGGAGGGCTAAGTGTTAGCAAGTTGGCTCTCCGCATTTTCTTCCTCCATCTTTGGGAGAGATGAAGAGAATTATGTACTTTCGACAACTATTTCTGACTTGCTTGCCCCTAAGTGAACGTGCATATCTCCCACTGGCTCGGTAGATGGCGGTAACTGAACTGGAAGTTCTCTCGAACATTCAGTAGAGACATCAACTATCTCAGATACCGCAGGTTGAACTTGATCTTCAACTTGTGTCTCAATGCTCTTTTCCACAACTGTAGATGGCGATGAGTGCTCGAAATCAGCTACTTGGCTCTCAGCATTCTCTTCCGCCTTCATTGGGAGGAAAGAAAGGGATTATGTACCTTCAGTAACCACTGGCTCGGCGGATGGTGGTAATTGAATTTGAGGTTCTGTCAAACATCCGGTCCAGACAACAACTAACTCATGTCTACTAGCTTCAACTTGATCTTGTTCCTCATTGTTATTTTGCATAACTGTAAGAGACGGTGAACTCTCGATATCAGCTAACTGGTGTAAAGCACATCAACACTCATCTCAGTGTTGCAAATATGATTGCCATCAGGATCTTTGAATTATTCAGTATCCATTTTGTAGATGCAAGGTTTTTGTCTGATGCAGTAGCTGTGTGATACAAGACGTGATTCAGGATATTGATGTTTTATGTATGTGCCTGGGTTCTAGAAGACTTAAGAAGACATGATTGAAGGATGAATGAAAAGGAAAATTAACTATTCTAAGTTTGGAAGAATTGGATTTTGACAAGGAAAAGGAAAAAGGTTTTTCGTCATGAGATTTGAAAAAGATATCTTATGTGATTTGGGAATCATGGTGGTTATATATAGAAGATTTGGGAACGTCCTAGAGAAGTAAGAGAGCATAAGCATAAATAATAATCTTTGAGAACTTTCTTATGGTTTTGTGTACGGCTTAGTTTCGCAGTTTGGTGCTTGTGTGATCAAGCTTCTTTGTTCGTCAGTGTGACATGTGTGTGAAGGCTGCTCCAGAGACTTGGAGTATTGAAGTCTAGGCTCAGGGGGAGTTTAGCCCAAGATTAGGTTATCTTGATTAAATCTAGACTCAGTGAGAGTTTAGATAAGGATAGTTATTTATCTTTAAGGTTTCATAATATAGTTCAGAGCGGTAGTTCAAGAGGGGTGTGCTTGATTTACGTGTTTGCAAATTGGTTGTATTTGCTTTCTTGTTGTAGTGAAATCGAAATCTGGACTCGGTCCCGGGGAGTAGGAAAAACCGAACCTCGTTAACAAACTTTGTGTCTCATTTACTTTCAGCACTTTATTATTGCCTCATCCACTTTTACAATTGGTACCAGAGCGGGTTCTCGATAGAGATTCAGTCTTGTTTCGAGTAGATCAAGGGTGAGGATAGTAGTTCAGGACGTAAGTCAGAGTTGAGATTTGTTTGTGATGAAGTCATATAAAAAAAGGCATGTCTATGACAAAACCACCGTTGCTTGATTTAGCTAATTATGGATATTGGAAAGTTCGTGTGCAAGCGTTTATTAGTAATCTTGATGAGATGGCTTTTGATGAGTTTGTTGGGATTCTTAAAGCTTTTGAGTTAAGCAAATCATATGAAACTGAAGGAGTGAAGAAGAATGTGAAATGTTCAGCAAAGAAAACACAATGCTTTGAATGGAAAGGGTATGGACATGTTCGTTCTGATTATGCCAATCTACAGAAGCATAATAAGAAGGCTATGAATGTTGCTAGTGGTGATTATGAAACTGATTCAGAAGATGAAGAAGAACTGCTGAACTTGGTGGCGTTTACAACTTTCGAAGATAGTTCTGAATTAGAGTCTGCAACTACGTCAGAATCTGTAGGAAAACCTGCAACTGCGTCTGAATCAACACCAAAACCTGCAACTGCATCTGAATCTGCAAATACGGCAAAGTCTGAAACAGAGAGTGATAGTAATGTAGAGAGTTTTGATGATGAAGAACTTGCTATGAAGTATGAGATGTTGTAAGAACATTTGCTTAAAGTAGTTGAGGAGAATTCAGTTTTGACTAAGGAGAAGCTCAAGTTGGAAGCTAAAATTGCTGAAGCAGAGAAATATGCATCAAAAAAAGAAGAAGGAGCATCAGAGGCTAAAGTTCAACTTGAAGAAACTCAAAAGAATTTGAGGATGCTTAATAATGGCACAAAGCAGTTGGATGAGATTATGAGTATTGGAAAAATGGATAGATATGGCCTTGGTTTTAAAGGAAAATGTTCAAAATCAGATCCGGTGTTTGTTTATGGTGGAAAAGTCACGTCTGCATCAAGAACTGTGACAGAAACTGCAACTGAGACAGAGTCTGCATCAGAGACTGTAGTTGTTCAGAAGATTGGAACAAAAAATTCTAACTTGGAGAGTGAACCTCAAAGAATTTTTCGTCCCACTTGTTATCATGGTGGTGTTGTTGGGCATATTAGGCCAAGGTGTTTCAGATTGATGAGTGAGAGGAATCAAATGAAGAAGGCTTATGATGTGAGTTTTCAAGTTCCAACATGCTATCATTGTGGAGTTAGAGGGCATATTAAGAGGAACTGTTTCAGATTCATTCGAGAATTTAGTCATGAAGGCATAAGGTGCAAGAAGATTTGGGTTAGGAAAGATGAGTTATATGGAGATGGTGCAATAGGTTATGGACCTCGTTTTACAAAACGGGGAGTATTTTCTAATTAGTTTTTGACCATGTTGTGACTCAAGTTGGGGGAGAATGGTGATGTTCTTGGTGATGTTATTTTGGAGTGAGAATTGTTGAGTTCACAACCATAGTCAAAAAGGGGGAGAATGTAGATGCAAGGTTATACTGACGGAACCCTAGCTAACCAATTCTCTCTCTTCTACAAGAGAGGATTTTAGATCCACCGTTTAAACCAAACTCCCACCACCGCTGGAACCGTAGCCAAACAACTCCTTTTTCTCTCACGTGAATTATTGATGTGCCGTGTAGACCTACCTCCTTTGCCCTCTGTAAATCATGTCTTCTTTGCCACTTTTTTGTTTCTTGGTACACATGGATACATGAGACCAGCGCCATACAATCCCCCTTCACAGCTCTGATGTTGATAACGATGATTTAGGCTGGAATGGAACTGTGGTTGTTTTGCCAGCTTCTCAATGCTACTGATCGCCTATCCACAATCATATACCTGCATGGATATATGAATATAGCTTTTTTTACTTAGCTTACAACTGTCCCGCATGGATATATGTATATACTCGTATCCACATGTTTATAGCCATATCCTTTAGTCTAATGTTCTTTTTTGCAAACATTTTTTAATTGTATCTACATGGACATGTTTTCTTTGCCATATATTTTTAATTTTATCTATGCAAGTCCAGTCATGTTGATTGTTGATGATGACGATGAAGGTGAAACTAAAGAGATTTTGATTATGTTAATTGTCAGATGACTGAATTTTTACAAGTTTTATTTTTTAGATAGAGATAAAGTAAACAATCGATTAAGGAGAGAGAAAAAATGAGAAGAAGAAAGAGATGGAATATAATTTTGTTTGTTCACTTTTAGTTTGTATAACGGCAAAATAGTCATGAAATAATGAAATAGCTGTAAAAATGTAGAAAATGTATACTAGTAGCAGAAAGTATGTCAAACTGAAAGAATTATTAGAGAAAGTAGGTCTAAGCATAAATCAATCAATAAGTTATCACATTTCTTTGTTTTTTGTTCACTTCGTCTATAAGAGCATCTCCAACCCTCCTCTATTTCTTCCTCTAAACTCTATTTTATAGCAAATTTTGCTCCAACCCACTTCTATATCCACATCTATTATAGAGATTGCTATTTTTATCTCTATATATAGAGGAGCTCTATTTTTTCCTCTATAAATAGAAGTGAACTATTTTCTTGCAAAATAGTCCTTTTAATCTCAAACTTCTTTTATTTATGACCAAAATAAATAAAATAAATATATTTAATAACTAATAATAATATAAAATATTTTAAAGGTTTTAATATAAATATATATTCTAAAATTTGAGACTACCATTTGCAAAAGTTAATATATATAAATAATAGACTTTCTTTTTATTGAAGGAAAAAAGATATTTTATTTTTTCATTTATTCCATAATAATACTTTTAATACCAAAAAAATTACTTAATATTCTCCTAAATTACATCCGGATCCACTAATGGGAAAAATACACTTATGCTGATGGTTAAGAATCTAGTATCTTATTGTTTTTTTATGTAATGTGATGTACTTGTTAATTAAAAAATAATATATAATATGATCTTTTTATAATAAATGTTTAATTTAAATAAAAGTAACTATTTTATTAAAATTTTATAAAAGTTAAAATAAATGGGTTAATTTGCAACTTTTATAAATAGATGGTGTTAATATTAAAATTTGAAAAAATCTATTTGGAATACCATCTCCAATGGTTTAAATCAGTATGATCAATATTAAAACCATTGTTACATGACCGTATTTAAAAGTTCAAAAAGTTTTAAAATATTATAATTAAAAGGTTGAAATATATAAAATAATTAGAATTTAAAATATTAAAAGTACTTTTTTGTGACATAATTACTATTGATAAAATATGTTATATATCAAACTATGTAAATTTAGATAGTTCACGGGTAGTTTGTTAAAATCACAATTATAATGGTAAAGCGAGTTATGAATAATGTTTTTTACCAAATGAATTATGTTACGAGTTGATTCTTTATAAAATATATTGTAAGTATGTAATTTTTATGTATATTCCTACTTCTACTACAGAAATGGTCAATTGAATAATTTGTCGATAAAGATTATTTCATGCTGTTAAATTTTTACTGTTATTTTATTTGTATCAAAACTCAATATATTATTATTTACTCGCTTTTTTCGTTTATTATTTTATTTAAACTTATTATACAAATATATAATTCACCGTTATCGAATGCATTGCAATAAAATTAAAATATAACATATTCTAATCAATTAATAATTATATATATAATTATTTCCCCCGCGATGTAGTGCGGGTCCAAACCTAGTCTATATATATAAAGTTAGCTTTTTCTCTCTTCTCATGATGCCACCTAAGCATCCACCTAAGCCACATTTTTTTTACATAAAAATAAATTTAAAACATTCATTTAGTGCATATTTATGCTACTTATTTGATTAATAGAAAATTTATATAAATAAAAATAAATTATGTAAATAAATGAAATGTTAAATAAGAAATACTTTCATTTTTATTAGTTAGTGGTAATAATATAATTCAACTTTCATTTTAAATTGATCATAGTTTAAATTTTAAATGTGTTACTGAGTTTAAGAATGTAAGTAAATTTTAAATTTCTGGTGAAACAAAAAAAACATTTATGTAATTGTATATATAAAATTTTAAAAGAAAAAAATAAAATTGAAAGTGAAATATTAGTTTATAACTTGATCAATAAGAAAATGCTTTTAATCCAAATTTAAATATTGAAAGATAATAATTCAAGAGAAAATAACTATAATATGTTTTGAAAATCAATAAAAAATTAAATAATATATCATAATATGAATAAAAAATTAACAAAAAATTATAAACCTCCCGCGCAGCGCGGATCAACTGCTAGTGTCCATATAATACTTCCCAAAACATAATGGAATCTTCATAATGAACTCCTTTGTAGTGGACGTTTGGTATGACTTATGATTCGTGGACATCTATATCCACTAAAATCGTTAATGTTTAAAGCCCAATTAGAATATAAAGCAGGGTTGGTCACCATTGAGCCTATCCATATTGGGCCCATAATCATGTGTATAAATTTAAGGCGCAAAGCCCTAGCAAGGAACTGTGGCAGCCGAATAAAATAGAGATGAGTGGAACGACGATGGCAGAGTATGAGGCGGCGTTGAAGATCCACCTGAAAATTAAGAGCCTTGATGATGATGATGTAATCTTTAACTCTATCTCTATGTATTGATCATCTGTTATATTTATTGATATTTTGAAATCTGTTTAATAAGTCTTTTGTCTCCGATTTGTTTTTTCTGTGTGTGTTTTGAAGCTTTGGGAAGGATTTGACTGGGATGAAACTGATAAGATCCTGAGTGGTGAAATCAAACCCAAGACCTTGATCACTACTTACCTCTTTGGTTATACTCGTCAAAAACCTCAAAAGGGAACTCTGATTGCAGAGGAGATGCTCTCTGTGTTTCCAAATTCTAAATACATGAATAGAAGGAGAAACTCCGAGTTAGGTCAGGTTCGTGTCAAAACTCTAAACCCCCTAAGATACTAGCAATATGGTCTTAGAGCAATATTATTGGGAACATTTTAGAATTGAAAATGCGTATCTTAGCATATTGTTTTGCTAAGATATGCTCTTAGATACACCGTTAAGGATGGTTAGCGTGTAAATGTGTTGTTGATGGATCCATGCACGTATGTAGGTCATAAAATTTGCCAAGAAGAAGGGTTTTACATCTCTCATTCTCGCTCATACAAACAATTTGGGAAATGGTCAGTATGTATATTATATACTCCTCTTTTTGATATATAATATGTTTATGACTTGTGTTGTACGTACGGTTCTCATATGTCTTGGTTTTGCAGATGAAATCCGTATCATAAACTTGCTGAATGGTGCATCCGCTTCTTTCATATTTATTGAACTCGTCCCACGAATTGATATACCGGTATATATCATATATAAGCTTTGTCTTTGGTCTACGTATAATACTATGTTGTTGCCCTTCACAAGCTCATCATTCTCTTACAGAATTGTGCAAAACCCCCAAGCCGACGTTATCCTCGGCTTCATGTCAGAGGTTTTGACTCTCCGGCCAGTGTTGGCACAGCCAGGTCAAAACTACTACTAATGATTTCTTCTTTATTCATAGTATAGTTGTTGAAAACTTTTCTTGTAATTTTCCTTTTTTTTTTCTTTACAGGATGATACAATCACTGTTCCCCAAGGTTCCTCATTCCCGTCGACCTTCCCGTTTAAGAAGTATTGCATGGTTGGAGCAGCAAAGGAATCATGTTTTTTTCCGACATCATCGGTAACTTGCCTCACCTAGTTCTTTTTATCTCTTGAGCTTTATGTCGGACTACTATAAAAATTACTAATCTTTATATTGGAACCGATGCACTTCTCTGTTCAGTCTCTGCTCTGAGGAAGTCATTGGAGGAGAAAGATCAAGTGTTAGCACACAGCCACAGGTTTAATATATTTAGCTTTTTTTTTTTTGGCTATGATGTATTTTGCAACAACAAAATTGGTAATATAGCATTCTTGTCTGTGGCAGGAATGTGGACCTCGCTTCACGCTCAAGTTAATGGGTGTTGATAGGGTATCATTGGACACCGGGAATATGAAATTGATTGGTGCTGGTAATTTCACTGCAAAAACTTGATTGTTTGATGAGTAGCGTCTTTAGACAAGACCTAACATTGTTTCTTTTTTGTTTTGTTTTATGGGTTTGCAGCTGACCCGGACGGTGGATGATGCCTATGATCATATCAGCTTTAGTGGCACTTCTTGTGCGTATTTCTCGTCTAATATGTTTCTTAGTTCCCATGTTTGTTGCACAACTAAAAGTAACTCGTTTTGGGAAATCTAATAACTATGTTAAACATTAACATGTCTCAACACTATTGAGTACTTGTTTTGAAAATTCCTTATAACCCTCTCATAATTACATGTCATTTTGTTTTTATGTTTCATCTTTTATAAAGTAAAAGAGCTCATCTAACTCATTCACTAGAAAAGTCTGGTTCTACTGGTTTTTGAATCGAAGACATCATACCAGAATCTGAACCACTACGTGTGAACTTCCCACCGTTCACGGCTAGCCTAGCCGTCGCAGCCTCGAACCTATAGTTAAACTCCTCTTTTGCCCTAAGCTCAGTCTTGTCCTTCCTCTTCTTGTGCCGTCTCCAAGCAGATTGTACAAAACAAGCCGCCCAAGTCCTCCATTGATGCGAATAAAACCGAAATTTATGTCTTAATTGCTTAGTGTGTAGTCTTCTAAACTGTGAAGCCACAAATTGTAAATCTTCAGCTTTCAGTGCAAAGGCTTCAACTTCACAAATGGCTTTAACTGTGCGTGTGGAAGACGGTAAGATCACAACGGGACGAGGGTCTAATGCCCATGTAAGCAACTCTTCGCCGCAGAAATCTCCTGGTCCTATGAGACAAGAGTTGAAGAATCCTGTTCTGCCTCCATTGGTTGTGTAAGAATCAAGATGACCTCTAATGATGAAGAGCATTTCGTTAACCGGGTCGCCTTCTCTTACAAGAAACGTTCCTTCAGTGCATAATGCCGGTTTTAGTCTCTCGCAAATCGCGTCAAGCATTCTTTCGTCCATTTGATCAAACAATGGTACCTGTTTAAAGGAAATCTTCAGAACAAGAATTGAATAAACTAGGGATCAAGAATTGAAAAAACAAAACAAGAAATAGAGAGGCTTACACGGCGAACAAGATCGAAACAAAGATGGCGTTTGATATCTCTTCGGAGATCAAGAGGAAGACTTATCAATAAAGCTTCTTCATCAACTCCTCGTGTGGCTAGCCACTTGTATTGATCATATTTTCTTACAGCTTGTCTTAGCTCTGGGGGAAGTTGTCTATGATGCATCCACTGTTCTGTATCTGTCCTTCTTATCCTCCACTCTTCAAGTCTCATTGTGGTTGACTGTAAATATGTCTGCATATTACCAATAAGCAATGCAAACAGAACAAGCCCGAGAGTCGCAATAATGATGGCGAAGAGGATTTCGCCAGCGTAAGTGCTCGTGGCGAGGTTTTGTCCCAAAGAGCTAAAGAATATATAAAAAGATGTTATGGATAAAACAAATGGATTCAAATCTGCATAAACTGTTTCAACTATTTGATTCACCTGAGGTTCTTTAATCCCCACCAGAGACAGTAAAAGTACTTGTTTATGAACTTTGATGAAGTAACACCTGATGTTACTGCATCTCCGAATATACCAAACTCATAAAACTTAGTTCCAGGTTTACATATTGTTGTTATATTGCTCCACTCAAACCAAGAATTTCTTTGTTGATCCTCCAGTCCTCTGCACTCAAAGAATCTATATTGACAAACCGGTTTCTCGATGTTGCAAGCATGTCTCCAACAAGCCTCTTGCCTCTCTACTGCAAGCAAATACCAACAAGCTCCTAAAACCTGGAAACAAGAATGATTTTTAATGTTTGTCTTTGTAGGAAACAGAGGAAGAACAAAGCTATGAAAGTGTTATTCTCAAATCTCTAACCAACTCACATAAGCTCTAGACTCTAGTCTACTACATGTAGTCCTAGGCTAGATAAGGTAGACTTATAGCTACAAGTTGAGTCACTTACATGGCTTGCTAGCATGTATAACATAAGGTTGTAAGCGGCTCCTGCCCAAGCGGTCTCTGTAACAACACCGGTGGCTTTAATGATCTGGCGAGATAGCGGGAATATCAAGAACATCCTTGGAGCATACTGGAAAATGATAATGAATCTAAGAACGTTCTTAGTGTTTGTCATTGGTGAGCCTCTTAGATTTGGGATTATAATCCAAATCAAAACCTGAAAAAGAAATGTAACAAACCAAGAAACCAAATCAAGAACTGAATCACTGAAGCTGGAGGATATTAAAAGTATATACCTGAGGTAAAGGTAAAGCAGCAACAAGATGAATCCAAAAGCTTTTGTTAAGATATCTCCAAGCAATCTTTCTTGAATCAATCACAAGCTCTCCTCTACCGAATACACGAGAAGGAGGTGCAATATAAGCTGTTCTAAAACGTATAAGAATCTGAGCGATGTAAAAAGCATCAGCTAAAGATCTAATGAGTGTAAGAACCACTTCAAGCCTGATACCAATGGTGATACATGCTTCATTCCTCATCACCGGTAAGAAAAAAAACAAAGGGTCGACAAACAGAGAAACCAAACATGCTACGAGGAAAATCTTGTTCCATTTCCGTATCGTTTGTCCCCGAGGATCGAGTATCTTGGTCTTAACCCTCTCAAGATCCTCAGAAAACACTCTAGAGAGTACTTTAGCTTTCAAAGACTTCCCTTTACTCATCATCTTCACATTCTTTATTTGAGTTCCATTGATTTTAAACTTGACCTTAACTCCAGGTTCAACTCCATGAACAACTTCTTGATCTTCTTGAAATCTATACAATTAAAACTTCTTTTATGATTAATAATAAAGAAGAGAGACAGAGACTACAAGTAAAGTCCTAACCTGACAGATCTTGAGTCACCATAACCCATTTTGCTTCTTCTTTATCAAATCTAAGAGCACGAGAAATCTCAGAACTTTGAGATTATGAATCCGTGACTATATCAATGAAGGAACCATTCTAAGCCAACTTGGGAACATTAAATTCCCAGGAAAAAAGGGAAGAAAACTAAAACCATATTTGGATGAGACACGTGTGTTTTGTAAAGACAACTGTACGAAAAGATAAAAAATCCTAATAACAATATCAAGAAATGATTAGGAAATAAAGAGATGAACAAACTAGATGAGATGAATCTGGTTCAAGAAAGAAAAGCTTTTCTTCAGTCGCTTAAGCTACAAGCAAAGACTACTTTTAGAGGAAATGTTTTGATGTGAATACTAAAAAGGAAAGTTGAATATTAAGGCACCGACACAACAACACAAACAAAGGAAGCTGTAAGAATAACAAGTAGGTCCATAAACGAGAAAATGTAATGTTCGTTCATATATGCTTTTATGAAGATTGAAAAATATAGCTTTTGTGTTCGTTTTGAGAAAGAGATGAGAAAAAAGTATAGAACAGTGAAGTGGTGTGTGTGGACAAAGTGGAACTTTTCATGTACGGATCACATGATTATAGGTATAAAATACACTGTTAAACATATTTGTTTGCTTGTATAATTTATTAATTTATATAAAGTACGTACAAAGCCAAAACCATGATGGCAATTCAACAAGTTGGATTTTTTTTAGGGTTAAAAAATTAGAATAAACAAAGATATCTTGCTTTTGCAAATTTTGTCGACTTGTTTGAATAAAATATCATTCTAGAAATATTTGTTACATACTTTAAAAGAAAAAATAATAATACTAGAAAGATATAAACCAATTACTGTATGCTATGAAACTTGCATAAAGATTCAAGACGAAGCTTGGTATTCTACTAATTCACAACCAAATTGATTGCATTCGAAAATAATGAAAATAGTATAGTCTATGCCAAATTAGAAATCTAAAAATTCACTATCTCAAAGAATACATCAGCGTCGAATGGTCTAATATGCGGTTATTCGCTATTGAATTCGCGTAAAATAATCACAATAATATAGTTTATGTAAACTCCAACTCTATTTTTATTTTTGTGTGTGAAAACTATTTTTAAACTGATTAACAATCCTTAATCAGATCGAGTTCAGTTAGTCATCTTTTAATTTTTTTTTAACTAGCTAGTGTACGTAATGATATGAATTTACACTGCAACACTCTAATTGACAAAAAAAAAAATCAGTTACTATAAATAAAAACATGATCTTTAACATTTTGTCATTGACTTCATGTGTGAAATACTAATAAATTTTTATAAAATTAATTAAATATTAATGAAAGACATATTTATTAAGTAAATATGAGCTAAGTGTCTGTGTATTAGTCCATGTATAGTGGTGAACATAGTGTTTAAATTGATGGTGGGTTTGTAAGATCCGAGGAGTTGACTCGTTTCTTTTGGAATCCAACCATGTGTTTGTACCAGTCGTTGCACGGACCACACTGCTTGACTTTCAAGTTTTATTTGTTTTACCACTAAACTTGTTTTGTATGTTTTTAATATTTTGGGTAATATTGGCTATAATACCATTTTAGTCCACACTAAAGTTAGGTTCAAGTTTTTTATGACTCTTTGTAAGTATTGGTGAATTGAATCGGACCTTAGGTCCTTGTTAGATCAATGCATTTTGATTATGTTTTATTAATTTTTGTTGAAGTTAACCTACTGATTTTTATTTACTTGTGTGCTCTATAGAGTTCGAATAAATATTGCAACGATTAGGATGGATAAATACAATTATGGATTGAACCGCTTGTTGTTTACAATTCATAAATGATAGTCTGAATGATGCGAAAGAAAGAAAATAGTAGAAAATCATCGTGAGTGAACTACATATCGTTTTCATGTACAAATAAATTTGGTTTGCGGTAAATTACGTTCCAGGAAAAAAAAAGTATACTAAACTACAAATAGATTAGTCCATTTTATCCAAACATCAATTCAAAGCCAAATTTGCTTTGTGAAACAATCTTTTTTCTTATAATTAAATCTAATCTTAAACTAGATAGTAAAAATATAACTGATAAGCTTAAAATTTAGACAATTTGGTCACAAATCTCGACGCATTTCCTCATCGGATTAAATTGCTTTAATTGTACCAATGAATCTTTCGTTTTGATTATTACGACCATTTGCATTTCTTTTATGTTTGAGATATGCTTTATATGTTTTATATCGAGATCATATGAATAGGTCAATGTATAGTCTCGAACTAGCAAAGGGACACATTTAGATAACTAAAAACAAGTTGGATACACATAAAAATCTCTCTCTATATATATATTTTAAAAGTTTGGTTCATTCATATAAGGTAAAGAATAAATTAAGAGACAAAGCTTGGGTTGGCAATTAATTGATACGGTTACATTTGGAATAAATGGGTTTGGTTCGTCCAGTCTGTGGAACACAACACACCATATGGGTCTTTCTCTTGATTGATCCCATCATCCCCCACCTTGTCTTTCTTCGATTATCCAAAGATGTTAACGTTACTACTACTCCTACGTACTCAATTATTATTCCAATACATTTCTAACATTAGTCACCAATCCTGATCGGAAACGTAATTTCGTCGGAAAATGGTCAAAATTTAGTTGGAAAAGGTGTTGGAAAATAGGCGGAACAATTCGTCGAGAATTGGTCGGAAATTTTTTTCGATGATTGTTCTGAAATCTAGTCGAAAAATATAGTCGGATAATCGTCGGTGTTTGATAGGAAGTCTAGTCGGAAAATATAGTCGGACACTCTAATTAGAGTGTGGTTGGAGGCTGAGAAAAAGATGTTGTAACTCACATGCTCTTTGAAATGTACAACATTCGAATGTATAATCCAAATGGGCATGCCCATTATTTATTGTATAGACTATGTATCCGTACGTATGCAAGGCCAATTCATAGGATGTGGACGTGTAGTGGTTTAACTTGAGCTTCAGGATTATTTCAAGCTTTTGACTTATACTTACACTCACTGTTAAACAATATCTCACAGTGAGTGGCCATTTTCATTTTGTTTTGTTTAACAGTGAGTGTAAGTATAAGTCAAAAGCTTAAATACATCAATTTGTTTTGTTAAAAATATTTTATTAAGAATATAAATTAAGAGTCTTCTAGTTTAGAGCAAATCTTGACACTCACTTAAAGAAAACTCTCAAGTCTCAGTGCTTGACCCTCGTCAGCGTGAGCATTATCTACATAGTGGGAGACGGTCTCAATGTTGTTTTTGTTCTGTGCTTTTGCTATCTACTTTGAAGTTTTTAAATATGTGCAGATGGTTCAAGCAAGACCGGCTTCACAATCGGCAAGCAGAATGACTCGAACCGTGGCTCAGTAAGATCCACTGGTTCCTCTTCATGTCCACTTCTGCTTCCACCTCTTGACCATCCAACTTTGTTTTCTTTCTTTGTCTCATTGCTCTGTGAGGACAAATGTCATAGATGATAAGGTGTTAATTGTTTCAAACGTTAATTTATACATTTGCAATCGTGTTATTATGAAAAAACATACCTGGAAAAGATAATTTATAGGGAAGTTTCTACGTCTGGATGATGTATCTGGTGTGATGGTTGAAAGAATCTGAACAACTTCTCTCATTGTTGGTCTAGCTTCTGGTTCCAAAAGCAAACACTCTTTAGCAAGATACGCCATTATCTGCATCTCTTCTTCAGCAAACTTCCTGTTTAGTCGAGGATCAGGCAGTTCCTCGATCACCCGCTTACTGTCTTGTAATCGCGGCACAGCCTAACACACCAACCAATAAATAAGTTTCAGAATGGTTAAAGCTGCAAGCAATTAGAGATTTAATAACTAGTGTTGTTACTCACCCAAATTACAAGGCTTTCTTCTCCTTTGTTGTTGCTGGGTTTCTGTATCGGTTTCCTTCCGGTTATAAGCTCGAGTAGAACAACACCAAAGCTAAAAACATCTGACATCTGTGAAGCACATCCTGCAATTGCATATTCAGGTGCAAAGTATCCAAATGTTCCTTGTAGTCCTGTCGTGGGAGAGCTTGAACCGCTTTGTAAACCGTCGCTACTCAAACACTTGGCCATTCCAAGATCTGTTATCTGTAACAATTTATGCCCATTTCAAGTTCAAATTTAGACTCATTTAAGCTAATATTTGGGGAGGTGGTTTTGTTACTTACTTTTGCATGCCAATTCTCATCAAGGAGAATATTTGTGGATTTTACATCTCGGTGTAAGATTCTTGGAGCAGCAGCTTCATGAAGATACTCAAGCCCTCTTGCAGCTCCAAGAGCGACAGAGATTCGGATGTTCCATGTCATTTTCTCTCCCAACTCTCCATCTAAGCAATCTCTCAGACTTCCATAAGACATGTACTCAAAAACCAGAAGCCTCTCTGCATGTTTGCCATGAAACTCTGAACAATATCCAATCAACGGAACCACATGGTAATGATGAAGTCTTGATAATAACTCAACCTGTGAAAACACAAAAAAAAACAGAACAACATTTCCAAATCTGGATTAACTATGAAACCTCATATAAGAAGCATGAAGAGGAGGAGGCTAGTACTTCTGTTGAGAATAGATTGTCGGTGTCATTTCCTTTAGGGGTATTTAGACGTTTGATCGCAGCGGTTTTACCGTCTTTGAGCTGCCCGCGGTAAACACAGCTACTTCCTCCATGTCCTATTACACTGTTGCTGGAGAATTTATTGGTTGCTTGCTCTAATTCTGCATATGAGAACTGAAAAATAGCTCCATGGATTGTTTCAGGTCTGCTCACACAAAACAAAGAAGCGTTCTGAAAGAAGCATCCTGTAGAAAACGGAAAAAACCGACAAGTTCTTAGTTCCTCTTCTGTTTAATGTATCAAATCAAAGAAACTTTAAATTAAGAGGGAAAAAATGGTTGACCTGCCACTGAGGAGCTGATGCTAATTTTCGATTGTGAAACCGAGCTTTTACGGGTTATTAAGTTGGCTGAGCTATGCCAGCTAGATTCTCTATCTGAAGAAACTGAAGGGGTTTGTCCAGAAAATTTGTTCCTTCGACAAATGAAGCAAATCATAGAGGCAAGCAATGCTAGTGAAGTGAGTACACCGCAGAGGAGTAGTATAACCACAACTAGTTTCCTAGATAAATATCGCTTTTTTGAAGATTTGGTAGCTCCTAGAAACAAGCAAGGAGACAGACGTATGATATAATCGACTAAGCTTGCCATAGAACAAGATGGATAGAGTAATATATACCAGCAGCGCAGTTGCATGAAGTGAAGCACGAAGAATTGGCACCACCAATGGCTATTACTGGAAAACCATTTGCAGGACACAAGCACGCCCATTGGTCTCTACCAGCTAACATAAGAGAGAGTTATAAAGTCAGTTTTCTTTAAAATCTTGAAAAATTTCTCAGTTGGTGAAGAGAGAAAAAGAAGAGAAAAATCAACCTGGTCTGCAATTACATGATGTAGAACAGTTAGATCCCAGGATATCACTTTGATTGCCCGAAGAGAAGCACATGCATGTATAGTTGCTTGCACCTAACACACAGAAACTTCATCAATTTAAATGAAAGTCACACCGTTTTTATACATGTTGCTGAGTTATCTTTGAATTCAGAAGCATGAGAAAATATATGAAAAGATTATACACTAAGATACTACCTCCATAACATTGTTGAATTGATATGAGAACCAAGAGAATAGCAAGTGCGGTTTCCACTCTCATCTTCATCTATATTTGCTGCAGAAACTAAACTAAAAGATTTTAGACAATAACGTGAGCGAAGCAGAAGATTAATAAACACAGAAGATTAGATGAAGACCTTCATGTCGGATTTATTCTACTACTCAAACGAAGCTCAGCTCCCAAGTGTGCAACAATCTACAACCTGAAACAAATTATGTAAGTTTAGAACCAGACTGCAAGGAAGGAGAGTAGAATTTTATAGAAATACAGGTAAATCTACAGTGTAATGTTAGAGAATGGGGTTGGTGAACAGACATCAAAAAGATTCTAACTCTGTTGCACCCACTGTGAACCAAAAACATTCTATGACCTGGTCAGACAAGAATCAAGAGACTCCAATTCTTAAAGGGCCCAGAGTTAGAAGAGAAAACAAGACACCCCAAATCAACAAAAAGTAGTAAAACATAACGATAGATATACGGTCACATCAATCATTTAAGATCCATTGCCACTCATCTGATTCTGCAAATCTTTAGTTCCCCTCTAAAGTTAGTTGGCTATGTTTCTAGATAAAGACAACAAACACAGCAGAACACAACAACCAAACTATCCATATTGCATTCTTGGAACCAAACACTAGAAAAGAACCAAAGAAGAGAACCAATACAAATCACATTACCCTGCAAAGTTGGTGGAGTTGAAGTAAGAACAAGATTCATTCGTAAATGAAGTTGCAGAGAAAGCAAAGGGGTATAAAAAGAAAAAAGTAATGGAGCATCTTGAAGGATACTATTGATTACTAAAATAATGTGATTAAAGAAATGATTGAGCATAGCATTAGTCAAAAATGGGGAATACAATAATAAATGGAATGAAAACAGACCAACCACCTTTAGAAAGAAACGGAATTGCAAATCTGAGAGTGACCTTTCAACCATTATAGTATCAAAGGCAGAATCATTGAGATTAATAAACCCATAAATTATATCAAAAAAGCTCCTTTTAAGTTAATCTTTAAACTGTTTACTAATAGCAAAAACTTCATATATTATAATCAAAACCACTAAAACTTTCCCCAACGTTCATAAATATTAAGACTTTCTGAATCTAACCAAGAAGAACCATATGATATTGCAAGAAACAAGATATCAAATACTTGATCCGAAGTTAAGGGCTTAAAACAAAAACCAAATTAGAGATATAGCCAAAAAGAGGATGACGAAAAGGGCTTTGCTTTAAGGAAAAGGTAAACGAGGACCGAAGCAAAGTTTGTCAGGAGGACACACAATTTCCGGTGTCGGTTGTCGGGAACCGGGTTAAAGAACCGGTTTGATTTGTGGGGACTCACAAATTCCGGTGTCGGTTGTCGAAAAAACCGGTTAAAGATGGTTAAGACCTGTTTCCTCCGCCATTGACTGAAAAAAGTGTAAAAATCCAAACTTTTTGATGGAAAGAAGCATGTCCCACTGATTCTATTCAACAATGCTCTCCAAGTGAATAAAGTTAAAGTTTTTGGGGAAGCCCATTTCATGATTTCTTGATACATGTAGCTCAAATGAATTAAAAACGCAGATTTCAACTGTACACAAAAAAAATTGGGAAACCCACCTTAAGATGATGAAGCAACAATGTCGATTTGGAGGGTTTTTGAAGTTAAGCTTCCAGAAACAGCAAGATAAAAGCTTTTTCTCGAAGAGGGTGAAGGAGAAAGAAACTACAAATCAGAACTGAGAATGATAAAAGCCAAACGCTAAAAAAACAGAGGAGTCAACGCGTTTGCGTTTGCGTTTTGCGGTAGAGCTGAGTCGGAATGATCACTGAACAAGTGATGATGTATCGAGGGAGTTTTAAAATATAGTTCATTTATTACAGATCGGGGGATGTCACGTGCCACGTGGCGTTACACTGCTATCACGATTTCATTGGAATTCGTTTCAGAGGTTTAAGTAATGTAGCAGACTCCATGATGCTTGTGCTTGCTCCTCATATTGAATGATAAGTAATTTCAAAATTCGAAGTTACATAAAAACAAAATCTCTACTTAGGAAGTAACATGACAGAGTTATTGAAAACAAATTTGATTCAACTGAGAAAGTGAGCTGTGAAGAATATTTACTGTTATATTGCCACAAAACGGTGTTTCTAGCGATATGATGCCATTAGCGTTTTCGCTTTAATAACCATCTAAAAAAATTAGCATTCCATTACGCAAAACATATATAAGCAGCAGTCTACGTTCCGATACATGTTTCCATTGGAACTGTTTCTTCGTTAGTGGCATTCTCGTTTGTTTTAAGGGCTTCAATACCTATATCTATCCTTAAGAGAAGCTACAAAAGCTATATACTATATATATACTCTCAAGGATATGTCACTAATCGTCATCAGAGAGGTAGACCAAGCTACTGTTTGAATTCCCTTGTTGTTGTTGTTGTTGTTGCTGTTGTTGTTCTTGAACCAGCCTTGTTGGATTTGTTGTTGGTGCAGCAGTAGAGTTGGGAGGTCGAGATGTTCTTAAATGAGGTGCCATGGTTCGCCGCACTATACCATGCACAGGTGGAGTAGAAGCTGCTGAATAAGAAGATGGAGTGTGGTTGGAGATTAAAGGCGGCGGTCTTGGCTGAGGAGTGTTGCAGGGTGGGGAGTGCAAAGATACAGCTTCTGATGTGACTGAGGCTAGGGGAGGGGTGGCAGTTGAAATAATATCCGTGGCTGACTGTACAACTGGTAGCTGAGATATTGGTCTTGGCTTAGGCGTGTTGAAGTGAGGTGAATGTAGAGGAAGAGTTTCTGCTGTGATTGATAGGCCAGGAAGAGCGGTTGAATTCCTATGTGGGTTAGATTTTGCTGAGATATTGGTCTCGGTTGAGGCATATTGCAGCGCGGGAAATGGGAAAGAGGACCTGAAGGAATTGGAGCTTCCGCTGTTGTGACTGAGGGTCGAGGGGCAGTTGAATTCATATTTGTGCTCGTTTGTACTGCTTGCTGCTGCCGCGTTGAATGATGGGAGCTCCTAGCTGCTCAAAAAGGAAAGAGTGTGAATGTCATTATTTAGCTAATTCACTTTATCCAACTTCTCTTTTCTTAACTCTTCACATTTACCTCTAACAGCTGCAGTATCTGTGGCTGCACCCTTCACTGGACATGAAGACTTGTAAGCGCTCGCCAAGAGACTGTTCATGGCAACCAAACTCCTAAAGGCTTCAATCTTCTTCGCATTGTCATTATATTCAGTATCTATCTCTTGGGATTTCATATCGTACTCACTGCGTGCTTCAGCCATCTTCCTTTCGAGTTCAGCCTTCAACTCTGATGTCTGCTTACAAACAACAAGACAATGAGCAGATAAGACAGAAAACTGAATAATGGTAGTACATTCATCGGAAAAAAAGAGAACTCACTGTTACTTCAAAGTTTTTCCTTAAGGTCCCTTGTTCTTTGTTAAGCTTGTCCAGTTCGTAGTCACATATGTCATTGAACGAAGGGAAATGTAACCGAGAACTCAGTCCCATAGAATTGTTGGGAAGAGATGTATCTGCTGATGTGTTGACAGCTGATCCACAATACGAGATGTTAGGAGGCTGACCTTCATGGACATCCTCGGCGTGGTTAACTACACAAAAATGACAACGCACCAAAGCCTTTACAATCTAATAAACACCAAGTATAGTTAAAGCCTGTCGATCAATATCCTAACCTATAGAAGCTGATCTCGAAGTCCAGTGCTCTGCTGCTGATGTGATATTTTGGGAGAGAACTGATGAAAATGGTGGAGAACCTGTAATTTGAGCACCCTGTAGACGAAAGTCAAATTCATAAGCACAATATGTGATCTAAATCAGTACACCACACCTGTTTCCTCCACGAAATCCAGAACATTTACAAACATCTAAAGCAAGAAATGGCCTTTTCAAGAATCAGGAAGTAACCTGATCTGATCTAGCAGAGCCGTGAATATCAAACGTAGAGGCAGGGTCTGGTAAACGAAGTGCAGATTCTTCAGAAAACCCTTGGTTCAAAATACCATCAGCATCATAACTAGTTGTACTATTTTCTTCTCTAATCAAACCTTCCACTACATTCAAAGGTAACTCTGTGGAGACAGCTTGGGAATTCGAAGCCAGTGGCATCACTGTCTCACAAACTCCACCTTCTAACAACTCAGGAAGCCTCTCTTGGCAAGTCCAAATCTCAGGTACATTTGCTGAAGCCACAATTCCAGGGTCAACTAGTTGAGCAATCCCAAATTTGCTGTGAGCTTTCACCAAAGAATCTGTAGCCTCCTCAGTTTCCATTGGAACCATGGTATCAATTGCTTTCACCAATACAGTTGTGAAGAGATTAAGCTACACATCAGGAGCTTTTTCAAATGACAAGTTTCCTGGTTTCAAAAAACACAACACTACAGAATCAAAACGTGTAACACTCACACTAATCTCCAAGAAGTTGAAAATGAGAGTGACCCTTGAACCATTACAGTTACAAAACGTAGAAATCAATCAGATCAAACCCATATTATACATAAAAATCGTAACTTTTCACCCAGATAACATAAATGCTAGACTGTGAAGTGCCATTTGCTACTGTAACTAAAACCCAAATGACTAAAGTAAGGGATTTGCGTCAATCTCGTCGAAGGAAGAAACGTGTCGAACAAATTCAATGAAAAGTGAACTTCTTTGGGGAGAAAAGAACATGATTTCTTGACCCAGAAGCGTGAATAGAGTAAACCCTACCTTGAATTATCGGCCAAGCATAGAAGAAGCAACAAATGTCAGTCGATTCAAGGTTCTTCCTCGTTTTCGTGACGCCCCAGGTTCCTACAGCGTTTAAGAACAACAGGTAATGGAATCGAGAGACATGACATGGTGTCCTTAATCAACTGGTATTGGGCCTTCAGCCCATACTTGTACCCGTGGGTTATCTTTTCTCAACGACACCGTTTCGTTGCTTTAATCAAAAACACTAAAAAGTTAAAAACCTAATACAGTATTTCTTCTTTCTTCTTCCCTGCGACTGTGATAGATTCAAAAAATTAGTTTCGTTTAGGGTTTAAGATCAGTTAAAGACTCTTCATTTTGATGTTATGGTTTGTAACAGGACAGTGTAGCGATTGTTATAAAGCAACCAAAGACATCTAAGGCAACCCTTTTTTCCTCTGGTTAGTTCTTTTAAAACCCTTTTCTCCTCTGGTTTATAACAATCGCTTAGGTTCCGTATAAAGACATGTAGAACACAAGTATGTTTCTGACTGATCATTAAGCAGTAGAGTTTGAGTGAAGAATCTCTGAGAACATTGCTGGATTTAGCTAGGTGGTTCTTAGTATGATGAATTTAGGAACATAATTGTTCTGTTGCTGCGTTGCCTTGAGAAAAGATTAGTCATTTGGGTTTAGGAACATAACTTAGTCTTTTGGGTTTTAGTTACAGTAGCAAATGGCACTTCATAGTCTAACGTTTATGTAATTTGGGTGAAAAGCTACGATTTTGATATATAATATGGGTTTGATTTGATTGATTTCTACGTTTTTAAGGGTCACTTTCATTTTCAACTTCTTGGAGATTAGTGTCAGTGTTCTACGTTTTGATACTGTAATGTTGTGAATGGTTAATTAACAAAGTCTAGATCTGCTATGATACTGTAATCTAGATATGCTCTAATCGGAAAACTCTCACCGCAACTATCTCTCCGACTCTGTGATGGGATTCTTCGATCTAAGTATTTCGTACAATGAGCCGCCACGATCAGGCGGAAAGGAAGTCGCCGGGGGAAAAACCTTGCGGTTAAAGCTCGCCACGAAAGCCATGGAGCTGGGTTATGTTGGGATCGCACATAATCGTTCGATCAAAGGCGTGATGTCGGAAAAGGACTCTTGTACGATCCCTCTTCTCACCCTTGGTTCTCTGATCAAAGTCGCTCCGAGGTTAACTTCTTCTGTTGGATTCCATCGCGATTTACTCGGCGTTCCGCGAGCTACTCCGTTTCGTCAGTACACGCGTCTCACTGTTCATGTGGAGAGTAATGCTCAGTGTCTGAGTTTGAATTCTGGGAATCCCGTTTTAAAGAGTTATGATATTATTGCTGTTAGGCCTATGAATCAGAACGTGTTCGATTATGCTTGTGAGAAAGCTGAGGTTTGTAGTTCTGTCTCCCTAATTGAGTTTTCCTTCTAAAAATTCAATCTTTAGTGTGGGATTTACTAGTTTTTGTAGCTCAATTGAATATTTTTCAGTTCTACTGGTGAAAATTGTCTAGGGAGTTAACTCTTAGCTTCTTTCTTTTCCTAGGTTGATATGATTTCGATTGATTTCACGGACAAGATGTTATTCCGATTGAAGCATCCAATGGTTCAAGCTGCTATCAAGGTTTGTTATTCTCTTATTTGTAGATTAGACATTGTTTCCTTTAAGAAGAAGTTGTGTGTTATCTCATTTCTTTTCTTTGCTTCAACTTGATGAATTTTCTAATGGGCAGCGAGGTATTTACTTTGAAATCAAGTACTCTGATCTCCTAGTGGATGCACAAACAAGGAGACAAGTTATATCGAATGCTAAGGTGAGATATTTTTATTAATTAGGCTCAAGTATCACATTGTATGTTTGTTGTATTTGTAATGTGACGGTGAACTTGCTTATACGTTGTCTTGTGATATGGGGTATTTCTAGTTACTGGTGGATTGGACTAGGGGGAAGAATCTGATTATATCAAGTGGTGCTCCTTCAGTCACAGAAATTAGAGGTCCAAACGATGTTATAAATCTCATGTCCTTGCTTGGACTCTCTACTGAAAAAGCCAGAGCTGCCCTTTCAAAAAATTGTAGGTATGTATCCAGCAATTGTTTTATGTGATTTAGCTATGCGTAAATTTAGGTCACTGTGGATTGATTTTGAATCGGTTTCAGGAATATGATAGCCAAGCTTTTAAAGAAAAAACGGTTCCACAAAGAAGCTGTCAGGGTTGAATTACTTTCTTCTGGTGATACATTTAGCCTTGAACAGCCTTTGTCTGGAGATTGTATGAAATGGGATCCCCTTTCTAGTGGTGAAGGTGACATGCTTTTGGATGATCTTGCAAAGGCTTTTGATGCCACAAATGCTGTGGCACACAAATCCTCTAAGGCGATTGATTTCACCTCTGTTCTCGATGGCTTGCCAAAACATGGTTTCCGGGTTGAGGATATTGTAGGAACTGAACCATTGACTCAGCCTCCTGCAGCTAAGGTGACTGACGCACAGGTGAACACTAATCAAGTTTCTGAAGTAGTTATGGCTGTGGCAGCTTCATCTGATGATAATCCTCAGGAAATCGAAACCATAAGCCAAATTGACATGCACATGTCTGAAGATGACACTAAGGTGGAACCTACAACAAATGTCCTCAGGGGAGAAGCAATTACCCTAAGGAAATGCAGTGCCAGCCATGGCCAGGGGTTTTTGGTGCAAAACCAAACAGCTGCTTCCTTTACACTGATAAGATGCACAAAGTCAGATGCAGCTTCGGATGTTAGCATGAACATTGAGGCGACTTCTGAGGGTGGATCATTGTCACCATCAAAAAGTGATCGTGTGATCCCACAAAGTCCTGTTGAAGTGATAAACATGGGAAATACTACTTCTGATGAAGTCTCAGTGGACGAAAACAACAAAGAAAGAGCGACTACTGGTCCTGCTAGTAATGATGAGATGCATATCACTGAGCCTGGAGACCACGCATCCGTTGATGATGTGAAGCATATCGCTGAGCCTGAACACCACACATCCATTGCTGATGAGATGAAAACTGATTGTCCTTCAGAAGCAAATCACGAGGAGTACATGGAGGTGACAGTGGAAGACCAGAAACGTGAAACAGGTGACAGTAATATTAATCTTCCTAACTTATCCTCTGAGACTACCGATTTGCTAAGAGAATCAGGTAAATCTCTCAGTCCAGAGGCAGTTGGACAAGATCATGACCAAGTACAAAGATTAGAGTCCAAGGAGACAGAGCTCAAGGAAGAGGAGGCATCAGTATCATACGATAACACCTTTGAGATAACAATGGAACAGAAGAAGGTGGAAGAGTCAACAATTGAAGACAAGCAGGAAGGAAAGAGTGAAACCATTCACCTAGCCCAAGTCCAATCCTCTGGAAGTAACAATGACACAAGATCAGGTACGAGTTTTGAATTTCCTCATTTCCAAACCTAAACAAAACACAAGTTTGGACTATAGGATTCAGTTTTATGTTATCAATGTAGGTAAGACGCAAGCTAAGAGGAGAAGAGTTCGACCACCGCAACTACTGCCTTTCATGCCATTTCTACTTCAATCAAGATTTAAACGGATCAGTAGAAAAAGAAAACATGGAAGAGCTTGATCAATTTACTTGAAACCATAGTAAAAGTTTTGTGCATCAATTTATTTAAAACCCCACGCAAGTCTCGTAGTTTTATGTGTTGAGCTTGAACCGATTATAAAACCATAGAACTTTTCTTTTCTTCCAAGTTTTACTTTTAAAAGTTTTGTTAACACTACTATACATATTTTTGTCTCATTTTGGCTTCATCGAAAATTAATTGAAACTAACAACATGAGTAGAAAATATACATGTTCGCTATAACGAAAATTGAAAATTCAAAAACAAAAGTAAAAAAAAAAAAAAAAAAAACTTAGTAACTAAATGTTAAATTTCCCCATGCTACGACCGTAATGGAAATAACGAGATTGGGCAAAATTGACAGATTATGACAATTCATAATTACGACGAAAATTCCATAAAAGGTTATATATACATGCATGAATGAAGAAGATACGAAAGCTGTGTTGTTTAGCCTCTCACAGCTTGAACAGTAGCAATCATGTGAGCCATCACGAGAGCATAGCGAACAGCAGTGTGTTGTGGAGTGTAGATGTCTCCAAGTCCATACTCCTCAAAGTTGATATCGATGTTCACAAACTTTCCCGGCAATGACCTTTTAGCCAGAGCTTCATGCCATATCTCCATGAACTCCTCCATCAGTTTGTTTGCCGTTTTGATTGATGATATAGGAAGATAATCCACCTGAAATGATAAAACACACAGCCCTTAGTTACAAGTTACAACACACACACACACACTCCAAAATGAGATTACAAGGACTGGATGTTTAAAAACTTCAAGATGCATCAAACAGGATCAAAGATCATCACCAAAAGGGAAGCTCCATGTACCCTTTTGGTGATTAGATTAGCAATGAGACAATTGCGATTTTTAAAAAAGCAACCACTTCATCATCTCAATGCATCAACATTGTTACGACCCACAACCTCCAAATTCAACTTACACAGAACAAGACTAAAGAAACTTGTAGATGTATAATCAACAGTATATATTTAACTTTCATCATCTATCTTAACATTGTAAATAGCAACCAGGACCATCACCGAAAGACAAGAAACTCGGTTATCAAGACAATCTAGAACAAGAATTTTAATCCTCTACATGCATCAAACATTGTTATTCACCAGTCTCAATTGCTCAAACTCTACATCTACAAGAAACTCAGTCACCAACAAGACATCGTTCTAGCCTCCTAGGCGCATAAACATTGTTCACTTTTCATCATCCGCCTTAGCAATATAACTACCATCAATGATCATCAACTAAAAGGGCATGAACATAACAAATAACAAGGATTCCATCAACTAAACGCATCAAACAATGATCATTCACCCTATCTCAATTCCTCAAGCTCTAACATTGTAAATAGCATTTAAGTATGATCACCAAAAAGAGGTTAAAAGAAACTCAGTTAACAATATATTGTTCGAGATGCATAAACATTGTTCACTTTTCATCATCAACCTTAGCCTTATAACTACCATCAATGATCATCAACTAAAAGGGCATGACCATTACAAGAAGAAGGATTCCATCAACTAAACGCATTAAACAGTGATCATTCACCTATCTCAATTTCCTCAAGCTCTAACATTGTAAATAGCATCCCTCACTACCAAAAAGGGCATGGAAGATTACAAGAAAAAGGTTTAAACTTTGGTTACCTCCATGACGATTCCTCTAACATTCTCAGAATGAGTAGGAACAACTTTCCCAACCCTCAAACGAAAATCACCAAGCTGATACTGAAACCCTTCAAAGTAAAGCGCAACTTTGGATTTGTAAGACTGAAGCTTCTCCATGATCGATTGAATGTTAGTATCAGCCTCAACCACAATCCTCTGCGACCTGATGATGAAGTAGTACTTGTCCGGCTCATCCGCGAGCGAGATCCCAAGGAAATCACGAGGGAACTCGGATTGATTCGCCTGGTCCTTCAAAATGGGTTTGTAGTAGTTGAGAGTAGCTTTCCATCTCCCTTCTTTGACACCATTGATGCTCTCAACGCACTGTGAAGCTTCGTTTAGGATCTGGCTGCTCACTGTTGAACCTTGGTTTGGTTGCCAATGCAAAACCCTACAAAACAACCAGAAAAAAAACCCCGAGAGAACGATTCAGAGATTAATCACAAAAAATCGAGATTTTTTAAGTTTGATTCAGTTTCTCTGCTAATCGAATCAGAACTTTACCATTTGACAGGCATGGTTAGGGATGTTGCCGTGGATAAAAAGAACCCAGCCCAGTCCGAATCTGAAAAAAACCTGCCCAGAAAAAAACCGAGATTCAAAAAACCTGAATGGGTTTTAGTCTTTATGGGTAAACCCGAATGGGTTTTTGTCTTTGTGGGTAAACCCTTGGGTACTCGAGTTTGGCTAAAAGAAAAAATCAGATGTAATTTATTTGTTGTATTTGTTTTTTATATTTGTAATTTTATCTGTATTTTGTTCCATCATTATTTTGTGCCTTTTATTGTATTTGAGAAAATATGTTGTTTTCAAAAAAATAAAATTTTATGTTATATAGTGAAATTATACAAAATATATTTCTGTATATAACATGCCATAACAAAGGTATACACATAACTAGTAGCTGAATCTATGTAATTGTGTCCACAAGTAGACTAATGGGAACAAGTAAGCACTAACTAGACTAATCTTTTCTCAAAGCAACGCAGCAACAGAACAATTGTGTTCCTAAATTCATCATACTAAGAAGCACCTAGCTAAATCCAGCAATGTTCTCAGAGATTCTTCACGCAAATTCTACTGCTCAATGATCAGACACATACTTACAGTAGATAAAAATCATTTGTTCTGCTACACTAGTTATCTAATCTCCAACAAAGCTAAAAATCATTAGTAGCTAATTCTAATGCCAAAAATGAATTAGAATCAGACTTGTGTTGTACATGTGTTTATATGGAACCTAAGCTAAGATTCAAAAGCCATCAACACAAGCCAGATAACACAAACCAGAGGAGAAATGGGTTTAAAAAGAATTAACCAGAGGAGAAAGGGGTTGCCTCAGATCTCTTTGGTTGCTTTAAAACAATCGCTGCACTGTCCTGTTACAAACCAAAACATCAAAATCAAGAGTCTTTAACTGATATTAAACCCTAAAAGAAACTAAATAGACAAGAGTGACTGAAGAAACTAATTAGAATCTGCAAAAAAAGCTGCAAAAACTCAACAGACAAACACCAATTGAGATCACATAACATGCTTAACAAATTAAAGCTGCAAAAAAAGCTTAATCAACTAGAGTGACTTAAGAAACTAAGAAGAAGAACCAGAACAAAATGAGTTAGTGGACTAAGTAGACAAACCAGACAACAACACCTTCAAAGAAGAACACATTCATGAGTTACACAAAACACTAACTCTTGTCTTTGTGTCATTGGTGATGATTGCCTACGGTATCTGATGTCCAAAGTTGAAAAAAATGTGTTTGCGACACTGTTAGCTGCTTTTCACATAAGCTACCTGTTACTTTTAAAACACTAACTCTAAATCTAAAACACTAACTCTAAATCAAAAGTCTTTAAAGGTGTGAACAACTAGAGATTGCATTGTAATGGAGATATATAGAAAATCTAAAATCAAAGCAAAAAAAGTGGAATTATAAATTCTAATTCTTACATCTAGACATCCAAAGCTAGCATCTTTTGATCCCAACGACTTAGATTCAGTACAAACATTAGTACACACATGATTCAGTTGGAGCCAAATCTAACTTGAACCAAAGAGCGTGACCAAGAAGTTTTTTCGGATGACAAGTTTCCTGGTTTCAAAAAACACAATACTACAGTATCAAAAACGTAGAACACTGACACTAATCTCCAAGAAGTTGAAAATGAAAGTGACCCTTAAACACCAGAAATCAATCAAATCAAACCCATATGATACATAAAAATCGTAACTTTTCACCCAAATTACATACATGCTAGACTGTGAAGTGCCATTTGCTACTGTAACTAAAACCCAAATGGCTAAAATTAAGGGATTTGCGTCAATCTCGTCCAAGGAAGAAACGTGTCGAACAAATTCAATGAAAAGCGTACTTCTTTGGGGAGAAAAGAACATGATTTCTTGACCCAGAAGCGTGAATAGAGTAAACCCTACCTTGAATTATCGGCCAAGCATAGAAGAAGCAACAAATGTCGATTCAAGGTTCTTCCTCGTCTGCGTGAAACCCCAGGATCCTACAGCGTTTAAGACATGGTGGTGTACCTAATTAACCTGTGTTGGGCCTTAGGCCCATTGGATTTGGATTAGAATGTACAGAAAATAAATAATTTACCGAAAGGAGAAATATCATTAAATTCATCAACTCAGTTATTTACGCCAATTAAACTATGAACTTTCACGCCAGGTCATTTAAACCATACATACACATTGACTTACAGATTAAAACATGAAACAGAATTAACTAAGCCAAAAACAACATGTCGTTGAGTTCGATAACGGAGCAATTAACAACATGTCGTTGTACATACTTCATAAAGAGATTAAAAATGCAAATCATTCATAAAACATGTTGTTAACAGACTAACACTTGTTAATTGCTCTGTTATCGGATTTAGTGATATGTTGTTTTTGGCTTGGTCAACTATGTTTCATATTTTAATCTGCAAGTCAATGTGTATGTATGGTTTAAATGGACTACGTGAAAGTTCATGGTTTAATTGACCTCAATGACCAAGTTCATGAATTTAATGACATTTTTTCCAAATAAAAAAGTTGTGTACAGTATTAAAAAGTCGTGAGATCAAAATGACTTGTATGATGTTAATAATAAACAAATTAGATAGTTTTGGATAGAGTAAAAGCAACGTTTGTCACTAGATTTGTTGTCGATAAAACGGAGAGATACCTAATTAAGTTTCTGAATTGTTCGAAAAGGATGGAAGTATGGGATCTATGTAGAGGGAAGTGTGGAATGAACAAAAATATTAGGTAAGTGGACAAGTTAGATAGTAACAACATCTAAATCAATATCGTTGACACAAATTCAGATTTGTAGTCTTGTATCATTTGTTAACTTTGGAGATTCTTCAGCATTTGAGCAAATGTTATTTTTTTCTTTTTTTTTCTATAAAGCCTATCAACTAATTCGATAAGCTCCAGTAGAAACGCACACAAGTGCTTCAGAATGGACTTCTCCTCGAAAGACCACCACACTGTCTATTCCGAGTTTGGAATGCTTTCCGACTAATGTCAGGGGTAGTCAGACCGCCTGCATTTCTGACTAACAGATAAACCAATTGGGCCAAGACCTAGTTGACAGACTTCCTACACAACAATGATTTTTGTTTTCAGGGTGGGTCGAACCTCGGTTAGTTCCTTCCAACATTTCCCCAATTCTCCCTTACCACTGGATCACGGATGTGCGGGCATCTGAGCAAATGTTGGCAACGTGTCGCCATATTGGAGGTTTGAAAAATAAAATAAGTGTTTTTGGGAGTTAAAATTTTTTTTTTCCATGTCGTCTATGAGAATGTTGATGCATGAGAAATAGAGTAAAAAGAAAGAGAGAGGAGAGAAAGTCATATCCAGTTGGAAAGAAACGAAGGAGGATGGAAAGATAAAAAAAAAAAAGAGTGGTATGTTGGAGAAAGGATATTAAGATCATTTTATATTGATCTTATAGTATTGAAAAAATGTTCAATTAATATGATATTTTGTAAAAGAAAAGTCATTTATCGTTCTCATTTATTTCTAAAAAAATATTATCAATCACGAGGCTACCACATAATCATAAATACATAACAATTTTGTAGAGATTGATGAGAGTTTAGGATTGGAAGAATTGTATATTGACTCTCATAAAGATGATGTTACAATATACAAGCATATATATAGGAATAACATTTAACCTAGTTTCCTAACTAAAGAGATCATATAGAATATATACAAATCATTAATATGATTGTGAAAGATATTTACATATCTTCTAGATATCCTCTTATACGCCCCCTCAATCTCAAGGGGATAATGAAGAAACAACGAAATTAGCGGCTTGAGATTGATTTCGATTATTAGTAGTCATGTGTACACTTTGAAGAAGCTAAGGAGCGTTGCTCGTGGGAGATATTGTTGTTAACGATGATGATGAGCTAAGACAAATAGAGCTACTGATGACCAATGCAGCGATTGACATGATAGATCTGATGAAGATGCTGATCAAGGTGGTGTGGACGACGGCATGATTGGTGATCAACCTTTGTCTTAGGAAGAAGAAGAAACCGATGTTTTGTTTTTTTTCTTTTTGTTTGTTTTTTTTTTTTATAATAAATAAAGCATTATTGAAAGAAAAATATTAAGAAGCTCGCTTAAGATAAAAAAAGTTTAAGTAACTAACTTGTTTTTTTTTTTTTTTTTTAAGATTCAGATTCAGAGGTTCATGATGAACTTGAATAAAAATAAAAATAAAAAGCATTTGTAGCTTAGATTCAGAGGTCTATGTCGTAGACTTGAATGAAGAGAAGCACAATGGCTTAGATTCAGAGGTTCATGATGAACTTGAATGGAAGAAGCACTTGGCTTAACAAAAACAAAAATAAAAGAAAACGAGTTTGACTGTTAGATCAAAACTCGGGAGCAACCTGCTCTGATACCATGTAGAAGGTTGATGAGAGAAGAACACACTAGTGATTAGGAAATATTATATTGACTCTCATAAATATGATGTTACAATATACAAGCATATATATAGGAATAACATTCACACTATTTATTTATTTTTTACTAAATATGAATATCAATTTTATATAAAATTTATTTAGTTTATTTTAACTTAGAAGTAAGACTATGGTTTCAATGTCAATATTATCAAATCATGGCGGCTGTTGAAAGTGTTGAAGGATCATCGAACCCTTTGGGAAAGTGAAAAACAATCACTAGTCTCAGGTGAAAGAAGCATAAAGTCATTGTCGATCTGGGAAAAGAGTTTCATAGAAGTGTTTACGACAAATTATTCTCTTCATCCACAACTCTTGTTTGAGGGAAATTTCAATTCTTAGTGGTGCTTATGAAAAATTGTTATGGTTAGAAAAGAATTGGAATTATATTCATATGTGTTGAAACACAAAGATGGAAAAATCTATAACTATTAATCATACATCTTTATATGTTGACAACAAACAAATTTATTACTATAACGTTTTTAATGTCATTAATATCATAATCATTTATTATATATATCCATTACTCACAAATCTAAATATTATACTCATTAACCATAAAAAATATCTTAAACATTTAATGTCTTTGTATAAAAGTGAATGATTTTATATGTTCAACTTAAGTTTTAGACTGAAAAATACTTTGAATATAAATTCAAATTAAGTTGAACGTTTAAGACGATTGTTTTATGGTTGATGAGTATAACATTTAGGTTTGTGAGTAATGGATATATGATTAATGATTATAATGTTAATGACATTAATAAAACAATAATAATAATTTTTTTGGTCATATTGAAGATGTATGATTAATAATTAGAGTCTTTTCGTCTTTGTGTTTCAACATATGATTATAATTTCAAGTTTTTTCTAACCATAAGAATTTTTCATAAGCACTTCTAAAAATTGCTATTCTTCTCGAGCAAGAGCTGTGGATGAGGAGAAGAATTTTTCATGAAACTCTGATCACAAAATATGGATATCTAGTACTTTGATAAGCAACAATATCTAGCATTAATAGTTTCCACTAATAACCGCGAGAATATCTCCAAAACAAGATAATTAGGGATCGGCAATGATTTTAGCCTTCTTTCAACTAAGGCCAATTATTGTGTTTTGCTTCCCTAACGGATTAGACGATCCTTCGATACTTTCAGCAACAGCCATGATTTGATGATGTAGACATTCAAACCCTAGACTTACTTATAAGTTATAATAAAATAAATTAAATGAAGTTTTATGTAAAATTGATATTCATATTTAGTAAATAAATAAATAGATCGTGTGAATGTTTTAGTTAGAAAAATCAAAAAATATCAAGCTTACGTAAAATTGATAAGTATTTATGATTGTGTGGTATCCACGTGATTGGTAATATGTTTTGAGAAAATAATGAGAAATATTAATGACTTTTCTTTTACAAAATGTCATATTAATTGAACTTTTTTTTAAATACCACATGATCAAATATAAAATGATCTTAATTTTTTTTATCCAACGTATCACTATCTTTTTTTATCTTTCCATCCTCTATTTCTTTACAAATGTATATGGCTTCTGGCTCTCTCTCTCTTCTCTCTCTCTTTTTACTATATTTCTCACCGCAACAACATTCTCTTAGACAAAATGGAAGATGATGAATTATAACCCCCAAAAAAACTTACTTCGTTTTTCAAACATGACATGGCGTCACGTCGGCAACATTTGCTCAAATGTCAAAGAATCTCGAAAGGTACCAATGGAAACTATGACTCCAAAGCTGAATTCGTGTAACCAATATTGACTTTTTTTTTGTCAACCCGATATTGACTTAAATACTGAAATTTTAACTATCTAACTTCTCCACTAATCGAATATTTGTTGTTCATTCCACACTTCTGTCCACATAGATCCCGCACTTCCATCATTTTCAAACAATTTGGAAACTTAATTATGTACGTATCTTTCCATTTATCGGCAACAAATCTAGTGATGAGCGCTGCTTTTACCTTGTCCATAACTATCTAACTTGTTTATTAACCTTATATTTTTGTCCATTACGTAGTTTACTCGTAGACAAACGATTTAACCTATCAAATTTTCGTAGACAAGTTAACTCTATTCATAAACAAAATTTACACTCGGACATTTTACTTAACTAATACTTTAGGACAAGTTATGTAAACAATACTCATAGACAACTTTCTTTCAGAGTTCATGATCCTGCAATTGGCGAGCTATCAATCCGATCATCACAAATCTGCCACGAACTTATAATATTTGACTGTTTTCAAAAGTTTTTGAAAAAATATGGTAAAAATCTCTAATATCTTAGATATTTTAGTATTTTTTTGGTCAAATATATTTTTTAGTATTATTATTAAAACTTGACATATGTACAACCATAATTGAATATTGAGATTACATACCATTCTAGCTCATATTACATACCAAACTCTCAGATTCCATACCAATCAAGCTCAGAGTAGTCTCTTTATAAATTACATTTACCCTAATCACCTAAATTCACTTATTTTATTTTATTATTGTTGGGTCAGTGTGAAATTGTTTTGTCTTCCTCCTTCAACAACCATGCCTATCAAATGGTAAAGTTCTGATTCGATTGATAGAGAAACTGAATCAAACTTCAGAATCTCAAATTTTTGTGATTAATCTTTGAATCATTCTCTGGGGTGTTTTTGGTTGTTTTGTAGGGTTTTGCATTGGCAACCAAACCAAGGTTCAACAGTGAGCAGCCAGATCCTAAACGAAGCTTCGGAATGCGTTGAGAGCATCAATGGTGTCAAAGAAGGGAGATGGAAAGCTACTCTCAACTACTACAAACCCATTTTGAAAGACGAGGCGAATCAATCTGAGTTCCCTCGTGATTTCCTTGGGATCTCGCTCGCGGATGAGCCGGACAAGTACTACTTTATCATCAAGTCGCAAAGGATTGTGGTTGAGGCTGATACTAACATTCTATCAATCATGGAGAAGCTTCAGTCTTACAAATCCAAAGTTGCGCTTTACTTTGAAGGGTTTCAGTATCAGCTTGGTGATTTTCGTTTCAGGATTGGAAAAGTTGTTCCTACTCATTCTGAGAATGTGAGAGGAATCGTCATGGAGGTAACCATTAAACCTTTTTCTTGTAATCTTACATGTCCTTTTTGGTAGTGAGGATTCTTGATGCTATTTACAATGTTAGAGCTTGAGGAAATTGAGATAGGTGAATGATCAATGTTTGATGCGTTTAGTAGATGGAATCCTTCTTCTTGTAATGTCCATGCCCTTGTAGTTGATGATCATTGATGGTAGTTATAAGGCTAAGGTGGATGATAAATAGTAAACAGTGTTAGCATCTCGAACAATATATTGTTAATTAAGTTTCTTGTAATATATTTTTGGTGATGATTCATAAATGATATTTACAATGTTAGAGCTTGAGAAATTGAAATAGGGTGAGTGATCATTGTTTGATGCGTTTAGTTGATGGAATCCTTGTTATTTGTTATGTTCATGCCCTTTTAGTTGATGATCATTGATGGTAGTTATATTGCTAAGGCGGATGATGAAAAGTGAACAATGTTTATGCGCCTAGGAGGCTAGAATGATGTCTTGTTGGTGACTGAGTTTCTTGTAGTCTTTTTTTGGTGATGATGTTAGTGGGGGTATATTCAAAATAATATTTTAAGAGAATTTTGTAGAACTTATATATCTAGTGTTATTCAAACATGGATTTTAAAAAGTATCATGAAATCCACTATTATTGAACTAATGATTTCAAAATCCACCTTAAAATCCATTGTTATTGAAAACAAATTGTTGATTTGGTCTTAAATGATTTGAAGGATTTGAGAGGATTTGAGTGGATTTCCTTGGTTAAAAATACAGAAATCCAAATGTCATGGTTTTTGGTGAGATTTGAAAGGACTTTACAAAATTCATATGAAATTCCCTAAAATCATCAAAATCATTTAGGGGGATGTATTCAAAGTATCCTTTTAAGAAATTTGAGTTTTATTGAAATTTTGATGATTTTAGGGAACTTCACATGATTCATGTAAAGTTTTTCAAATCCCACCTAAAATTATGAGATTTTGATTCTTGTATTTTTAACTAAGGAAGTTCTCTGAAATCTTCTAAAATCCTCTGACATCATTTAAAATCAAATCCACAAATTGTTTTAAATAACAGTAGATTCTAAGGTGGATTTTAAAATGATTAGTTCAATAAGACTGGATTTCACGAAACTTTTTATAATCCATGATAGATTAACACAAGATTTGTAAAAACAAATTACAAATCATTTAAATTCCACTTTGAATACCCCCCCCCCCCCCCTCTTAAAAACTCAATAAATCTTAAATTTCTTAAAATTCCATTTTAAATACACTCCTCTTAGAGTTTGAGCAATTGAGACTGGTGAATAACAATGTTTGATGCATGTAGAGGATTGAAATTCTTGTTCTAGATTGTCTTGATAACAGAGTTTCTTGTCTTTCGGTGATGGTCCTTGTTGCTATTTACAATGTTAAGATAGATGATGAAAATTAAATACATATTGTTGATTATACATCTACAAGTTTCTTTAGTCTTGTTCTGTGTAAGTTCAATTTAGAGGTTGTGGGTTGTAACAATGTTGATGCATTGAGATGATGAAGTGGTTGCTTTTTTAAAATCGCGATTGTCTCATTGCTAATCTAGTCACCAAAAGGGTACATGGAGCTTCCCTTTTGGTGATGATCTTTGATCCTGTTTGATGCATCTTGAAGTTTTTAAACATCCAGTCCTTGTAATCTCATTTTGGAGTGTGTGTGTGTGTGTTGTAACTTGTAACTAAGGGCTGTGTGTTTTATCATTTCAGGTGGATTATCTTCCTATATCATCAATCAAAACGGCAAACAAACTGATGGAGGAGTTCATGGAGATATGGCATGAAGCTCTGGCTAAAAGGTCATTGCCGGGAAAGTTTGTGAACATCGATATCAACTTTGAGGAGTATGGACTTGGAGACATCTACACTCCACAACACACCGCTGTTCACTATGCTCTCGTGATGGCTGACATGATTGCTACTGTTCAAGCTGCGAGAGGCTAAACAGCTCAGGTTTCGTATCTTCGGTAAAAATACTGCGTTTCGCAGTATTAGTCATTTTATTTACAAGAAACATTTGAGAAAATAAAGACTTTGAAAAGAGTTGAGAGACTATGTTTTAAACTACAGAAAACAATTTGAGTTTGTGGCAGATTTGTTATTTGAATTTCAGTGTTTTGGTTTGCTTTATGGTTGTGAATCTCTTATATTAATTCATTTGGATGTAACTCTTTCTTAGATTTTTCTCACTAAAAGCATATCATATCTCTATGACCTATGCTTTTATAATGGAAAGGACAAGTAATTAAAATAGAAACAAAACTGAACTTTAGACAGTCTTGGTTTTGTTTCTTCAACTCCACAATGCAGAACAATCGGTGGGCTTGAAAGAAACCAGCTGTGAAGAAGGATCATAACCAACCAACAAATTGTTTTGTGCTCTACTCCCAAAGAAAGCTCTTTTTGTCGGATCACTATTACACACAATAGCCAGACAAAAGGTTCCTGGTACATACTCGACATACATATTGTACTTGTCCAAGACAAGATCTGCACCGCCGGAGAAATGAAATGTGATGACTGGGAACATATCAGTGGTGTCTGAATTGTAGCAAAGCATGTTCTGCATTACTTCTACCTGAATCCTGTCTGCTGTCACAACATCTTCCACTGCCTCCTTTACTTTGTTGCAGTAGCTCTCAGGCAAGTATGTGTAAAGGGTACCAGAGTCTATGACTATGTTCCCGTCCAAGGCCTGAAATGGTGTCCCCAATGTCTCAACACGGTTCTCTCCAACGCTGATAGCGTCTAGGTTTAAGTAAAAGTTACCAGATTCCTTTGGCTTTATAAACATAGTTGCTGATACAGTCCCATCTCCTGCCACAATAGCATTGCCTCCAAAATTGATCTTACTAGTTCCCTTACCAGCTAAGCAGTATGAGAGAAGACCTAAGTAATTCTCACCCATCTGAGAGACGAGAGAAGAAGATATCCAATCCAAACCAACAACTCCCGAAGCGCTAGGCTTGTCTCCCCCGAACCATGAGTTGTTGTGGCCACAACCAAAGGTGGTCTCAGCCATGACAAAAGGTTCCCCGGAAGTGGAGTGAATAGTGACCGTCTCTGTTGCATAGGTTCACGTGGAATAGTTTTCGTCTTCGTAGACAACCTCGTAAGGACAAGAGTGGCCGTGGCATCTTTTTTCTTTGAAACTTGAGGATTTAGATGGGTCGAAGATAGGAGCCTTTTGGTTGTAGCAGTTAAGACAAGGCAAACATTGTATCCATAAGAGCTCGCTTCCTGTGTCTAAGATAGCTTCGATCTCGATAGGAGGAGTACCTATTTGTAGTTTCATTACATACACGAACAAGGAGCTGTCGTAGAAGGTATCAGCGTAAGGAGATGACCCGAGCTGAGTATTAATAGAGACTAGAGAAGAAGAAGAAGAATATGAACTCAAACGACGGTGGAGTAAGTCGGCGGTGAAACCGTGACGTGATGAAGCAGTGACGGTAAAGAGGAAACATGTTATTATGATTTGAAGAAAGAGAGCGAACATTGTGGTTACACGATACATTATGATAATTTAACTAACGTTTTCTAATATGTGCAGTGCTCTCTTCATGCATGCACATATTTATAAATAACGTTTTGTAATTTTTCCCACTCTGTGTTTTTCCTAACTTGGGGAAATTTTTACGTTTTATTACTAAGTTTAACTTTCTTTTCTGGTTTTCCAAATTTTTTTTTTTCAGTAATAGTTATTGATGAACCCAAAATGGAAAATGTACTATTATATATATATAGCAATTTTCAAAAACAAACATTTCAACTTTTGGGAGTTTGTGAACAGAACTCAACTTTGATGATTTTGGAGTTGCGGATAGAATTCATTTGATACGTATCAATGTTCTATGGCTTTTTACTAAAAGAACAAATAGAAAGACTAAACTGAAGTTAAAAATAATAAAAAGGTATAGAATAGAGACACATTAGCATATTATTAACTAAAACATATCAATGTTTTATGGTCTTCTTGAAAGGATCACAAATATAAAAAAACGAAAAAAAAAAAGACTCTTGGGTTTGTTAGTTCTTCAGTTCCACAATGCAGAACATTTAGTGGGCTTGAAAGAAACCACTCGTGAAGAAGTATCATAACCAACTAACAAATTGTTCTGTGCTCTATTCCCAAAGATGGCAAGTTTTGGCGGATCATTACACACAATAGTCAAACAAAAGGTTCCTCCCGTATGCGTTTCGACATACATGTTGTACTTATCCAAGACAAGATCTGCACCACCAGCGAAATGCATTGTGATCACCGGAAAGATATCTATTGTGTCCGAGTTGTAACAAAGCATGTTGGAGTTTCCAGGGTCAGGTACTTGGCTCGCTACCACAACATTTGCCACTGCCTCCCTTACTTGGTAGCAGTAGGTTCCAGGCAAATACGTGAAAGTTGTTCCAGAGTCTATGATTATGTTCCCGTCTAAGGCATGAAACGTTGTCCCCAATGTTTCAATGCGGGTGTCCTCAACGCTGACCGCATCTAGGTTTAGGTAATAGAAACTTTGATGATCCATCTTTATAAACATATCAGCTGCTACTGTCCCATCTCCTGCCACGATAGCGTTAGCTCCAAAGTTTATCTTACTAGTTCCTTCACCAGATAAGCAGTAAGAGATAAGACCAAGGAAGTCTCCACCCATCTGAGAGATGAGCGACAAAGATCCCCAATCTAGACCAACCATGCCAGAAATGCTAGGGTCGAACCCGAAGTTGTCACGGCCACATCCAATGGTGGTTTCAGCCAACACTAAGGGCTCGCCGGAAGTGGAAAGGATCGTGACCGTCTCTGTAGCAAAGGTTCCCTTGGAATAGGTTCCGTCCTCGTAGACAATCTCGTAAGGACAAGAGTGTCCGAGACATCTTTTCTCTTTGAAGGTAAAAGATTTCGAAGGGTCGAATATGGGAGCGTACTGGTCGTAGCAGTTAGGACAAGGCAAACATTGTGTCCAGATGAGGTCACTTCCTGTGTCTAAGACAGCTTCTATCTCGAAAGGAGGAGTACCTATTTGTAGTTTCATTAGATAGTTGCCGGCATTGACATTGTAGACAGTATCGGCGTAAGGTGATCCGAGCTGAGTTTTGGACAGTCGAGAAGAAGATGCATTAATGAAGCTACGCTGGATCAAGTCGATGGTGAAGCCGTGAGGTGATGAGGCAGTGGCGGTCACGAGGAAACATGTAATGATATGAAGAAGAAGAACGATCATTATGGTTGCAAGATACATAATCGAATGATATATAGTTTGCTTTTGAGACACGAAACCATGCTCTTCTTCATTCTTGCATGTATATATATAACTTTTTTCTGGAACATTCGTCGTAATTATGAATTGTCATAATCTGTTAATTTTGCCCAATTTATTTATTTACATTACGGTCGTGTAGCATGGGGAAATTTAACATTTAGTTACGAAGTTATAATTACGACGTATAACTTAAACCAAGGAAAACTGGAAAATGAGTTTTAAAAAAGGAAAACTGGAAAATTAGAAACCAAGGTTAGATGATAAAATTAAAGTATTCCTTAAAAGTAAAATAGAGTCTCTATTATAAAGAGAGGTCATGTTGTAAAGACAAATACTGTAACACTGCAAATATTTGGGTGACATATTAGTAGCAAGAAAATTATGTATCTTCTAAATGTTTAAGAAAATAGTGTATATTCTATGCTTTTTCCATATATATGAAAATATATTAAAAATGTTACTACTGTTATAAATAGGATGATGCAGTTTTGATTAATTTAAAAAAAAAAAAATTTTGACTGTTAAAAAAGTTCAAATTATGTTGTGTGCGGCATGAAACCAATATAATTGCAAAATTCATACCATATATATTTACGAACTTCATTCAGTTTTTTTTTTTCTTTCCAAATTTGTTTTGTATGTTTAATAAAATTTAATTTTTATCATGCACGACATAAAATCTATACATTCTTTTAATATAATTACGAAGTTCATTAAGCTTTTAAAAAAAAAAAGATACAGAGCAAATTCGATAGCGTAATTGAATAGAATTTAATCTAAAATAAATAAATAAACAAAAAGTCAAAGGAGAACAAAAAAACAGAAAAAAATTACATATTTTGTATATGTAATATAAGTCTATAAAAGGAATTATCAAAATTTTGATTATACATCAAAATTTTCCTAAAATTTACACTCTTTAATCAAATAATCATGAAGATTTTGGCCTGTATAAATGTATCTCACGCTTATTTGCAGGTTGAACCGGCCTGGCATTTGAATCTGAATCCTGCAAATTGTTTTTCAAACATATATATTTCACTTCTTAGATATCACATAAATTATAAAATTCAATGAAAAGGGAGAATTTTAAAAATACTCCCTTTCAAATACCACTTTTCAAAAATACTCATTATTCAAACTTTATATAAACACCACTAAAAATGTTGAAGTTTCTCCAAATATATATATATATGTAAGCTTATAAATATACACACAAATTATATTTATATGTGTTGAAAATTTTGTATATCTTTCATAAAATACCGTATAAATACCTTATAAAAACTATTTAAAAAACTTGTAGACCCTTTAAAAAACCTTGTAAATCTTGTAAAAATGATTTAAAACTTTTTAAAAACGTTATAGATGATTTGGATCAAATCTCCCACAGTAGTAGTTATGATCTAGAAGTGCCTTATAAACCATATAAAACTTTCTAATTTTTTCATATTTAAACAGAGATATTTTTTGAAAATGGATAGATAAAAAGGGTACACCAAAATGGGTATTTTGCAAAAATTATCATATAAAATGATCATATTGAGGAATTTGTGAATCAATACTATTTAAATAAAACTCACATCGTGAACAGCCACTCGGAGTAGATTCACTTGGCTTTTCGACACCGTCCGTATCTACAAATTACGCAAAAATAAAATATAAATTAAACGATATATAAACTAGGAGAAAAAGATTGAAAGATGATATCGAATCTTAAAGATGACATTAAAAATGAAGACACACAAAAATAGTAAATGATACAGTATGTCACTACTAAAAAAAGAAAAGAAAGAAACATAAGAAATAAACCTTCTAATTACATATGACTGGTAACAACAAAATTGTAATAATAAGTTACGAAACCAATCTAACTATATAATCTAGATTTAGTACCTTTTTAATGATGGTCCATGTAACATTTTGCGTACAAGGAGGAGTGGTAAGTGAACCAACATATCTATAATAGTTCCTGCTCTCAATCTTAATTTCAGTTGGATCTATCATTACTACATTTTTCTCAGCATCACTTTGATCTGTAATGGCCGCCAGTTTATGTTCCAACTAACCAAAAGAAAAACACTAAAATTGGTTAATAATGATACTTATTATTTCGTTAACTAAATGTTTAATATTTTTATCCAATTTTTGTTACATACCAAACTGAGAAAGGAGTCTGGTCTTCCAATTCTGTACAGCACAGTGACTACAGCCATGCTTCCGTTCTTGCTTTCGTGAACCAAGTGCAGCTCTAAAGCAAACCTGTCAAATTATTATTTACCATGTTCATGAAATCATCAACACAAGTAAAGAACACATTGTGTTCTATATACGTCTACAAAGTTTTATCTTCAGAAATAGATTTTTATATAAGACATGATGTTATTATGTATGCTCTCGTGTCAATATTTACTCACAACTACAAGTTATTAGAAAATAAGATCAGCTTCAAAATTATATAATTATAAGAAGTTTCAATCATAGTTTTGATGTGCACATCCAAAATATTATTACCTAACTCTATATATATGTGATTAGAATATTATTTTGTACCTTTTTCCATTGATGGTATGTTCTGAGGGAGAATGCCAATGAAGTTGGAGGAGATTATATTCAGTTCCATTGATCTTAAAACTTCCTGACCCTTCTTCTCCAAATTTCAGCTGCAACAAAATATATGAGTAACATATAAATTAAAATATGAAAAAATTATAGATGAGGGATATGTATACCATCATGTCATGGCCTCTATTTTTGAGAGTGGCATTGGAAGTTTCGTAGTTTCTACTAAGCTTTCCAAGATGAGAAACAAGTTTAACTCTTTTGTTCATAAGATCAATTGGTGATTGCATCTCTCCTTTGCCACACATATTCCATTTAGGTTTCAGTTTTCCCCAATTCCTTGGCCCGTTCTCTTTGTTCAACTCGTAGCTGAACTCGCTTTCATCCTCTACATGAATCCATTATATACGTAATATAGTTTTTAAACTGTAATAAATAAATTAAAAACTTGTATGAAAAAAATGAATCAAGATATGATATGATCAAGATCAACCATATGGCTTACCAACTTCTCTATCATGTTTTGCAGCATGTGAACAAGAAACAATGGTGCTGAAGATGGTGAGAATTACAAAGAAGAGGCACCTTATTGATGATTTATCCATGTTTAGGAGATGTTTCTTCTTTACCTAAGAAAACTTCTTGGATATAAAGACTTATATAAGATTTGAAAATAAAAGAAAGAAAGACAAATAAATTCTGCTACATCCCTCTTTTTCTATTAAAAAAAAAAAAGGGGGTAAGTTTTTTTTCCTACACCCTTTTGGTAAATATAGGAAAAAAGGAGAGACAACACTATTGAAGCTGTTTTCCATGATATTATTGCTTGGTCCAAAAAATTTACTTCTATTTCCTTTCTTTTTTGTAAAAGAGATTGTAACAAAGTCGCTCATCTTCTGGCCTCTCATGGTTGTAATCTTCTTATTTTTTATTCTGATTTCTTGTATCCGCCTTCATGGCTAAGAAACCAATTGTATTATGATTTTTACAATTATTCAATATAATTTTATTGACGAAAAAAAAATAGGAAAAAAGGAGAGTAAAATTCCCACTACTGAAATACATATTACAAGCATATATATTTATCGAGTTGATTACTATATAGGAATTTGTTTTAGTGGCATTTTAGGGGTTTTTTGTTCTATTTTTTAAGGTTTAGTATATGTTATCAAGTATGTATCATATATAAAATAAATTCACAAATATATAGATTTTAAAGTGACAAGGAATGACAAATCTAAGGAAAATGACGAATTCAAAAGAACTGGAGTGGCGATGGCAAAATTTGTAATAATCCCTCTTATCATGAAATTATTTTTGCTATTTTTAGTATATTTGATTTGTGATTTCAAGAATAAATTTCATATTTTATATTTTAAAAAGACTCAAAAATAAATTATAATTCTTCTCAAAATTTTACACTTAATTATTTTGTGAACAAACGTTCACTCAATTATCAATTTATATTGTAGTCATTTTATCCTTTTTTCTCTAGTCTTGTTAACTACTCTAGATGTTTCTCTACCGGTTACACACATAGTTGATAATATTATAACTGCATTACAAATTTACAATTTTAATTAACGTTTTTCACAATAGTCGTCGTCACGTTTTTTTCCCATCTTATATAATTTTAACGCAATCGAGACGGCAGGCTTGACTACTTAGTCGTAGGTATGCAAATGATGTGATCATGAGGGCAAGGCAACATTATTGGGCGAATGGAGACAAAAGGAATGAAGCAACATAGATATGCCAACATAGATACTATTGAATCATAAGAGAGGAAAGTCCAAAGTAATAATGTAATATTAATTAATATGAGTTGTTGGTATATTGGTTGAAAGACAAATATTTTTGTACAAAGAAAATTTAAGATTTGCTTTGCTGTAAAAGAGGTCAAATTAGATGAGCAGTTTCAAAATGTCATGCATGAGATAAGCAAATGAAAGATGAAATGATCCTTGAATTGTCTTATCAATGTTATAAAACGTATATATAGTTAGTGCCAAAACACTCAATAGAAATACATATACGATGGTCCAATGTTGTCGGACACATTGTATGACTTCAAAATAATAAGTTTGATTATATAACTTGTGAAGTAATTTTTTTTTTTAATTTTGAAACATTCTAGAATCTCTATATATATATATATATATATATATATATATAATAGGAGAGTTCTCTCTCCATCTAGCCTATCCATATCAGCATCCACCTCATCAAAAATATTTTTAAAATTAAACTATATTTAAATATTTATTTATTGCATATTTATGTAACTCATAATTAATAGAAAATTAAATTAAATAAAAACAAATTAAATAAAATAAATAAAATTTAAAATCCTAAAAGAAATATTGTGAAAATGTTATCAATAATAGTAAATAGGATCATATATAATTAATTTATTTAATGTCAATAAGATTTAAAATGGAAGAAAAAATTAAATACATGGTAGAGTAAAAATATATATAGTTGACTGTATATATCAAACTTATAAACCGGAAAAAACTAAGTGAAATATTAGTTCCTAAGAACAACACACTACAAAAAGTTTTGATTTAGTACTAAAATTTTAGTTAAATAAAAGTAAACAATTACCAAATGATCAACTTAAAATTTTAATTAAAGAAAATATATTGTTAGGTCAAACTTTTTTGTAAAATTAGAAAAAAAAATAATAGTTTTCTTCTTCTTTGGTGCAAAAAAATTTAAAAATTTAAGAACATCATAATCCATCTTCTAAAAACGTAAATAATCAATAGGCGTGTTAATCATGAGTTCTAAAACAAAATATATAAAAAGTGAATAAATAAGCTCTCCATAACAAAGGACTAATATTTTTCATAAAGGATAAATTTAGGTTAAAGTTGACCGTAACAAATTGTTTTTATTAAAGCTTAAAATATGACTATAAGAAAACAAATTCAGGAAAAAAACAAAATAAAAGAGTAACAAATAAGTTATAACTGGTCATATTTTCCTTTAATGTAAAAGCTTTTAATCTAACAATATTAAACAAAACAAAACCAAAAAGAAGTAACCAAAAACATTCATTGAAATATGAATCTATACTATTAAAAGGAAATTTTTTGTATAAGATTATCGTAATTTATACAATTTAAAAGACATCAAATTTAGTATAACAAAAGAACAAAATAAGGATAGTTTCGTAATAAGAAAATATTAAAAACACGCGGACCCATTTAAACCCGACCCGTAAACGAAATTCGTATTTGTAAACTTGATAATGTTTTTATTTAGTCTTTGCATAATGAAGAAGTATATTATAAACCCGAAAAGCTTATGGGGTTTGTTAATAAATTTGCCGGCCCATAAGAGTTGTTGCCCATATCTATAATCGTATGTGTATTCGGTACATTACTTGACCAAAACAATTTGAATAATCTAATATATATATTTGCCACTTGAACAGGGAAGATTCTGTTTGACCAAAAAAAAAAAAAAAAAAAGAGAACAGGGAAGATTCCTAAAATATCGATTACACATTTAAGCAGTACCCAAATTTTAGGCTATTCAGATACAATAATTATTTCTCAAAACATAAAATTCCTTAATTGTAGGCAAAATTATTACTTTAATATACAATCGGTATCATCTAATCGAAAAGTTAGTAAATAATAAAATATATATCAGCACGAATTGATGTTGATTCCTAAAATATAGCTTCTCTATATATTATTCATTCCTAAAATATAGCTTTTTCAATAACTCCTCAACACTAATTTAAAATGTCAAAATTCTAAAATTACCAATAGACATAAAATAACACCTACCGAATGAACAATAATTATGCAAAAAATCTAAACTAATCAACGAGATTTTGGATTTTTTCTAACTTAAAAAGATTATTAATACATATTAGGAATTTTCTCAAGAATGTATTTGCTCAAGAATATTGCTCAACTGTAGAATAATTTTTATTATTGACTGAATAATTTTTATTATTGCTCAAGAATGTATTTGCTCAAAAATATTGCTCAACTCTAGGAATTTGCTCAAGATTATTCTATATCTGCGTATACAGTCAATAATAAAAATTACCACATGTAATAAATATTCGTTAACTAAGTAGTTACGATTTATTAGGAAAAATAAATTATGATGTATATTTAATTGTATATGAGATATTGATTTGTCACATACCATCTCTCTATATATAATGAAGTACTTACGATATGAGGAAAACATTGAACAAAATATTTTAGTCTAACCTCATATTTTTTATTTTATTTTGGGAATTCTGTTTACATATGTTTTAGACTTTTTGTTGATTTTCGCTTTTACGCTTGAAATATGGTTTGATTATTTGATTTCAGTGTGATATGTACCCAAATAAAATTACACTACTAATCATACATTCAGAAAACATAAAATAAGGAAACAAACCTATCAAACTATTCTTTTGAAAATACACCCGGAAACAAACCCATCAAACTATGCTTTTGAAAATACACCTGCACGTACATACACCCGGAAACAAATCCATCAAAATATGCTTTTAAAAATACACCCGCACGTCTAGTAATGCATATAACAACAACACACACGCACACAAAAAATTAACCAAAAGTATAAGATTAGAATTAAAAACAATCAAAATATAACTAAACAAATATGATAAAAATGTACATACAATAACAAATCCTTAAAATATAATATGAAATAGAGAAACGTTAAAAAAAAAAAAAAAAATCATAACAAATAACCCCGCGCGTGAGCGGGTCTTTCTCTAGTATTATATAATTTGGAAGTATCGTCGTAACAACCATATACTATTGCATTATATCAATTTTACAAGACAAGTGGTTCTAGTCCCAACAAAATTGATGGAGTATTTTTGGACGATTATCAATTAAATTTACATAGTTAACCATTACAATTCCATTTTCAACTTTATATTTGTAGTAGTAAATAGTAAAAGTTATTCAACAACAAAAAAAAAAAAAAA